ATTTTAATTAAACTATTTACTTATCTTAATCTTAATCTATAATTATTTTTACTAATATATTTTTTAATTTCTTACTAATTATATTTTACCTAAATTCTCATATCTACAGTAATACACCAACATTATATGGCACGGAGGGAGCATGTGTAATGAATACATGTACTATTTGTATAAGTTATATGTATTGATTTGGAAAATCGACACCATAATAATTTTTCCAAATAAGATAGATAACCATCCATGCACATATGGATAGATATACGTATATATATGTATGCAATTATGCATGTTTACCTTTTGAGAGACAAAAGACAGTGATAGAGAAATTGATCCCAAGTGGACATAACTATTTTTAGTTATCAAAGTAGATATCATTAATATACCGAAATATTATTTTAATTTTATTATAATATATTATACCCAAGTTGTACTACTAATAATAATAATAATAATAATAATAATAATAATAATAATAATAATAATAATAATAGTCTTCATGTCCTATAATCATTCTTTTAGCGCATTCCAAAAATAATGATATTTTAAAGTGTTTATACCACAATTATTTTTATTTTTACTATTTAATTCTTATGATTTATTCTAAAAATATATAGACATATCAAGACAAATGACAACTAACACACAACATAAATAGTATTCCCTCTGTCTCAGGAAATATGGACCTATTATCGTATATACAAGAATTTAGGTAAGATATAATTAGTAAGTAATTAAGAAGTGTATTAGTAAAAATAATTATTGTATAATAAAAATAATTATAGATTAAGATTAAAATAACTAAATAGTTTAATTAAGATTAAAAATATTATAAAATATAAAATTTAAAATGTGATTAAAGTGCAAAATCATATTTTCAAAAAAAGAAATGACAAATTATGTGGGACGAACGAAAATAGAAAATATAGACAAATTATGTGGAACGGAGGGAGTAATATTTCATGAAAATAAGAATAGGGCAAGTTGAACATATATCGTCGGAGTTGATGTACTGCATAACCAAATAAGAATATGATGTCCTAATCTTCCAATTTTTCAATATATACTTTCATAACTTTAGGATCATGGGCAACATTCCTAACACCTTCAACACGAAAGGGGTGAACAAAAGCAACCACATCACCCGTGACAATCCGCAACTTCCTACGTATGAGAAAATTTTCATCAATTGTGCCCACAAAATTATAATTATTTTCAAATAGAATAATATATATCGACATATGAACATCCATCTTTTTCATACAAGAAGGAGGTTGACCGCAGATAATTTTACTAATCCAAAATAAAAAATATCACAGAAGTAAAAACAACCAACAAATAATCGAATCAAACTAGAAAATAGTCCTGCTCTCATGCACTGGCGAGCTCTCCGACCGTAGGAATTTTCGGTGTGCATGTGTGGTCCCGTGAGAACCCGCAGCCTCTACTCGACGATGCAATTTGATTAAATCCTCCATCGAACCTAATACCCTGCAAACTAAGTCCGACAAGACAATTCACACTAAGAGTGTGTTTGTTTGGAGGATTGGATTTTGGATTGAGATTTGAATAGTAAAAATTTTAAATATGAAAAATTGTATGATGTGATATAAATATGGGTTGATGTGATGTTTTGAATATAAAATTGATTTTTAGTATAATATAAAAAATAAAAAATAGGTGTTTGATTTGATATTTTTTAGAGGAAAAAATTGAATGAATAATAAAGTTTGGGGAAAGACCTGGAGGCGTCGGAGTTTAAACCCATGATTCATTCTCACACCACCAAATCAATGATATGTATTTTGTTAATATAATACATGTATTGTTTGACTTGCTATTATGTACCCTTATATTATGTATTGTCAGTACTGTACTGGTTTTATGTATCATCACATAAAAACCGTAGTCATATATTAAATACAAAATCAAAACATCTAACATTCAATAAAAACACTCGTTATTTTTATGTCACTGCGACTTGAAGTATTGTAAAAATTAAACAAAGACATGACTTTTTTAAATATGTACTCGATCTGTCCCATCTTAATTAATTTTTTTTTATCATATAAGATTCATTCAAAAAATTTTAATTTTTATATCTCTCGTAATATATTTTTCTCATAAAATATATATATATTTATTTTTAAAACCCTAAATTGAATAGTTTCCACATTATAAATAAATAAATAAATAAAGAAACAAAATTTGCAGATATGGCCCGACCTTTGCAATAAATGGGCTGTATATCAGCTGTGGGCATAAATGCAAAACTATGTGCGCCACCAAATTATTTAAACATATATATATATATATAATTCAATAATTCATGTAAATTGATTCCACTTATCTGCTATTGCAATTATAAATTAAATAAAATAACGAACCAATATATTTATTTATATATGAACAGTTGGGATGCAATTAATTCATATACATTGGGCATTGATGTCTATATTATATATATATATATATTGACTGTAAAATATTGAGTGACACATTAAAGGGTGCACAAAGTCACATGCAACACAGTTTAAATAAACAATAACCTGAATATATATATATAATTAAATAAATATATAAATTAATGATCATCAGTCACTGCTGACACATGCAGCTGCCTTTAATTTCCTGTTTTCATTTACCTAACTTCAATCCCTCCTCTTTTTAATATTTTCACCTCATAAAAGATTGGACTTATTTTTATCATTTTCCTTCGAGCTTACTCTACATTATTTATTTTATATTTTAAAAAATATAATTATAAATTAATATTGAAATATTCTTAATTTATACTTAAATTATAAATATATTATTTTACGTATAATTATTTTATATATAAAGTCAAAGAATAATTATGTCAAAAATACTTATAAATTTTTATTAATTAATAAAATATTATTATTTTTTAATTTATTATAAAATTTTAAAAAAATTATTTGATTTGGAACGGAGGAAGTATAATTATTTCCAAAATAAATAACAAATGACGTGGATAAGTCGAAATGAAAATACTGAATAAAATACTACCCCATTTTGTCATATTTAGCTAGCCCATTTGGTAACATTTATTACTGTATAATTAAATATTGAATTATGATATTATTTTATTATTTTTTAAAAATATAATAATGGGATTAATTTAATGATAGGGAAAAAAAAATTGAATAAAATTGACGGACGACGAAGAAAGTAATTTAAACTATAGATGTGATTGTTCTGTGAAATAGTTTAAAATAATATTTTTTATGTGAGATATAGAGAATTATATGTAATATAAAAATAATAATGATGTGTAATATATTAATTTTTTGAAAAAATATATTTGTTTGTTTTAGCAAAAAGAACATACTCTCTATTTAAATGGATATTTATAATACTTTTTATATTATTTATTAATAGTATTGTTTTTTCAATAATAATTTATGTGGTTAGTGTTTTAGTTTTAAATATTTTTACCTAAAATAGAGAAATTATATTTTTAATATATAAATAATAATATTTTATGTTGAATTTTGATTTTTTAGTAAAAACTAATTTATATCTATATTATGGATAGTGAATCTTTATATATATTAATGTAATATTTTATGTAAAAATTTAATTTTTATTTTTAATATAAAATTAATATTTGTATTAAATGTTATTCCCTTCGTCCCACATATGATTATACACTTTAATTTTATTTTAAACTTTTTAGATTTTACTTTTTGTTATCTGAATATTCGAATTGAATTTTTATTTTAATAGTAATACCAATATTATATTTAATGAAAAAAATTTGAATATTTATTTATTTACTTACCCTTCATTTAATTAAAGCCATTGGACGATATAATTCATAAACTGTCTTAATGAAATTCAGCCGTTACGTTATTGTTATTATTATTATTATTATTTATTATTTATTATTTATTTTTCCATAGGATAGTATCTCATCCACGCACATATATAGCTATGTAATAATTGGACAAAATGGATAATGTTAGATGTCTATAGATTTTAGAGTTGAGTTTAAAATTTTGAATTAAAATAATTATTTGATGGGATATAAATACATATTAGATATGATTTTTTAATATAAAATTTATTATTAGTATTATATAAAAAAATTAAAAATTTGATTTAATATTTTATAAGAAAAAATTAATGAAGAATAAAGTTAGGGTTGGAAACAGAAACAACCAAAGTTTGTGCCAAATGATCAAATTATATGCAAACACAATGACATGATTCTTGTGATTCTTATCTTAACAAGCCATAAAAAGGGTTTAATGTATGGTGGATTTGTTTATATGTGTTTTAAGATGTTTACGATATTAAATTAGGCGACAGATTATGATCCCGCCAAGTCAACATGATATTGATTTGACCAAATCAGCATATGCTATAGAGGTAACCAACATATGTTTATACATATCTCAACATATGTTATGTTATAAAATAACATATACTGAGTTATATATAATATATATTTTATTATAAATACACTGAGATATGTGTAAATATTGTTGATCCCGTCAGCAGCTGATCTTAGCCCATTAAATTAAGTTTTGAATATAATATTTTTAATAAAAATAAATAATTACTAAATATTCAATATTATTTATAAAGAGGTTGGTTACTCCGTTGTTTGAAAATCTATTTGTCAGTCTATATATTTATAAGTGTGTTGTATAAAATTTTTTTTATGCTGAGTATTAATACAATATATATATCATGTAAATTATATCACATATTGTCATTTTATATATTGTCTGTTTTATACCATAATGATGTTAGAAATGTGCTTAATTGTAAAATTCAGTACAGTAATCACCGTATATTACACGAATATAAAATATAAATAAAAGAACAGGTTAGAAAACAACATCCTTGATTACCCGACCCTACCCGGGCCCGGACTGTCTCAAATTCCTGTGCCCAATGTCCCTGAGAACATGGGAGCAATTTAAGGGTGTTTGTTTCAATTTTCCCTTTAATACAATTTCCTCTATAAGTTGTGTATGTCCTCTCCCACAAGTCTTTCGTTTCGTTTTTCCGTCAAAAGTAAGTGTGTTTTTACATTATTGCAATAACATTACAATTACAATGGAGATTGAATTGGCTAAGTGTGAATGTTGTGGCCTCAAAGAGGATTGCACACAACACTACATATCTCAAGTTAAGGCTAAGTTCCAAGGCAAATGGCTATGTGGCCTTTGCTCCGAAGCCGTCGCCGACGAGCCCGATAAATCGACCGACGAGGCCGTCAAAGCCCACATGTCGTTTTGCCGAAAGTACAAGTCGAATCCCGCCGTACGCGTCGCCGATGGAATGAGGCAAATGCTCCGGAGGAGGTCCGAGGAATCGGGTTCTTCTAACTCGTCCCCGTCGCCGTCGTCGTCGAAGAAGTTTTCGAGATCGGCGAGCGCGTCACAAGTGGGTGACGGGTCGAGATTTCCGTACTATTAGGACAAGATCAGAGTGCGCGCGACTGAGAATAAATAATTGATGCGGTGTTTTTCACTTTCTTTTGATTTAACAATGTTTTCATGGATTAAACGATGTTATGACGTGCCAATAAGGTGTTACGATTTTTTTTTTAATATTCATTTCAGGATACGATGATTAAATAGCAATGTTTGTAAGAATGAAATCTAATTTATCATGGTATTGTTGATGAAGAAAATGGATAAGATTGATAATTCAATGATTGAGTAGAGATTTTTTTTTTTAATTATTATTATTTTTTTATGATTCCATTAGTTAACCAACTCTATATAGAAATGGTGACCTAATAATATATGTCAACCGAACTCAACTAACTTAGTCATTAATAATTTCCTACATAATACAAATGTCTGTTATATAGAAAAATTTTGAACAGAGTGAATTAGATGCTGAATTAGGAATTCAGCCATACTGAATTTGATTTACATCATTTAATTAAAATAATTAAATTAAAATGAAGGATTTGGATCAATTTCAGCTTATGTTAAATTCTTTATCACTTCAGTATTTGATCCAAAGCCAATTTTGAAAAGGTTATAAAAATTATTATTAATAAGTTATTAAAAATTATATATATAATATAAATAGAACCAACTTTTAAAGTATTATATTTTTTATATAGTTATTTATTTATACTATCAGATTGCCTTGTTTTAACTAGAATTTTTAAAAAGCTTTTTATTCAATTTTATTATTTTTCAATGGAAATACTTATTCTATATGTAAAATATTATATCAAATATTTACTTATTTTATATCTATCAAAAAATAGATTTTCATAAGAAATGGAAACATAGCAGAAAGTTCTCTCCATAAGTATCATATTTAACATTTATTTTCATACAAATTGTATTCTGTTAATATTTTTGGATGAATTTTTTATTTTATATTAGATATGAAGAATAGTGTTAATAATATAAAATATATATATTGTTACGTATGAAATTTATAATTAGGTTAAAAGGCTCAAGTTAGATGAAGATGTGGGCCTATAATTGGGTATGTTAGATTTATTAAGGGGTATTTTAAGATAATCGGGTGAATTGGACATTTTTCTAAAGAAATAAGTAGGTCGGATGGTCCGCAAGTCGGATGGTTTGCAGGTCGGAAGTTCCGCCGGATGGATGGTCCGCAAGTCGGATGGTCCGCAGGTCGGATGGACCGCAGGACGGATGATCCGTAGAACGGATAGTCCGCAGGTCGGATGGTCCGCAAGTCGGATGATCTGCAGATCGGAAGGTCCGCAGGACGGATGGTCCGCAGGTCGGATGGACCGCAAGACGGATGGTCCGCAGGTCGGATGGTCAGCAGGTCGGATGGTCTGCAAGTCGGAGGGTTCGCGGTCGGATGAATAAGACGGGAGGTCCGCGGACGGATAGATAGGTCAGTTGGGTTGCGGTCGGATGAGTAAGTCGGGGGTCCGCGGTCGGATAGGCGGGTCGGTTGGTCTGTAGTCGGATAAGCAAGTCAGAAGGTCCGTGGTCGGACAAACAGGTCAGTTGGTCCACAATCGGACGAGTAAATCGGTTGTTGTGGGGGTCAGATGCTGCAGAGAGCGAGTGAGAGCCGTAGTTTAGTCGGCTGGATGACGCGGTTGGTAAGACGGTTGAGAACACGTGTTAGCAAGAGAAGAATTAGTAGACGATTGCGATGAGGCGTTGTAACCGTTCGGACGACGGTTCCAGGTACTGTTTCTGGGGATATTTAATGATCGGGGTCAGCAACTGACAAAAGATCTTCAATCATCTTCACACAACAACAAAGTGATTCGGGGATCATCATTTAATTTTCCAGCCTTTAGTTTTATTTTCCGGGTTTATTTATGTATCCTACAGTGTTTAGAGATTCCTAATCTCAAACACTAATTATATCAAATTCGAAGATAATTTCTTATTTTCGGATTTTACTTTATATTGTTAAAAAAACACATTAACATATATATATATATAGATATTGTGTTGAATTATTAATTTTTTTTTTTTAACAATAATATATATTATATTGTTTAATAATATTTATAGAGAATAGTGTAAAAAAATTAAATTCATTATATCTAAATAAACAACCTCTGTTTTAAAATGTTAATTTTTTTTAAGTGGAAAATATTTTTTGGAAACTTTAATTTTGTGGAGTATATAATTTAAAAGGCGGAGATTGATACATATCCAACAATATAATGAAAGACAATATGTGATTTATGTTAATATAAAAAAATACATTAAAAATACAAAATCAATCCACTCAATATAAATAAACTAAATTAATTTATAATACATAATAATTGTCTATACAATACTATTAATATTGATTTCAATATAATAATTATATTGATACGTCGCATTATGTAAGTATGTACTTTGAGCACGTTATATATTCATACGTCGCATTATGTACTTCGTAGTTATATTTATTTTCCATATTTTTCAAAGATATATATTTTATTTTATCTTTCTATTCAAATATAAAATATATATTTGTAATAAATACATATTTTATTATACATTACAAATATTTTTATATTTTTATTTATTAATATTAATACTATTACACAATATTAAATACAAGGACAAAAAAAATACACATAAAAATGTATTTATTACTTATTATTATAATAGTCTTTAAATGTTGTATAGAAAAATAAATATATAGGTTTGTTTACATATTTTTACTAACAAAATTTGTAGTATATTTATTATATATTTCATTTTTTTTATTTACTAAAAATCAATATTCAATATAAAATATTATTTTTATATTATTATTATAATATTTTATATTTCACATAAAAAAAAAAAGAAATTACCTTAAACTAAAACACTAAATAAACACAGGTATATCTTTCAAGTATATAAATGAATAAATGATGGTATTTTAGATCGTGTGGTGTGTGTTTAATTTAAAATGGAATATAAATAATTAATTTTATTTTTTAAATATAAATTAAACTTTAATATAATATAAAAGTTAAACTATTAAAATTTGATTTAATGTTTATATGATTTTTTTTTATTAATGTAAAAATAAGATGAAAATGAAATAAGCAAACACAACTTTATTTATAGTGTAAATGGTGTGTTTGGATGTGAATTTGAAAATTGGGAATAGTAAAAATTTAAAGGAATAATGTTTAATGTATTATAAATAAATATCTTATACCAATTTGTTCACCTAATATATTTTTTTAATGATACGAATTTTTATAAATATTATATAAAAAAATACAATATATAATATATATTTTATTTATTAAAAAAATTAAACAATTTAATATAAAATATTATTTTTTATATTATTAATACGATTCCCACAATAATATATTATTTGAATGAGATAATAAATTTTTTTATCTAATATGTATAATAAAAAATAAATATTTTATTTAATATTTTGTAGATAAAAAAATATAATAGTGAGGTATTGGGGCTAATTTCACCACCCATCAATTTTCATTTAAAGGTAGATTCGATAAATAATATATATATAATTAAAAATGAAATTAATATATATTACTAAATATTTAAAAAAACATTATAGTATATCAATTAAATATTGTATTCAATATTAATATTATTTTGTAATAAATAAAATTTTATATAATATAAATAATATATATATCTTTATACATAACTCAAGGCTCAATATACAGCGTATTTGTTTGTATTATTTATTTTATTTTTTATACTCTATATTTAGTAATATTTTGTTTAGAGAATACTTTTAAATAATATATTTATTTTTAAAAATGGCTGTAAGAAATGACAAAAATAATGGGAAAGAAGATTAATATGTGATTTATTTGGCAAGTCTCAATTAAGAATGAAATAATAATTAGTGACAGTGTATCATACCAGGGGCATAATAGTCATTTCACATCTGAGCTTTCATCTATGGCCGCTCCATCACAAATGACCGTTAGATTCAAAATTCAAAATAATATCGACAGTTTATCGTCGTCAATTCATCAGAAATCGGAATTCTGCAGAGGGAATCGAGCGCGATGGTGCAGAGAAAGCCGAGAATCCTCGAAGAAACGGCGAAAACAGCAATGTCTCTCACTCCGAATTCCTCGGAGAAATCGACCAGCACGACCACGGAGGGCAGTCAATCGGAGAATCGGGAAACCGCTTACTTCCCAGGATGCAGACGAGACGCGAACTGCAACTGCGAGATCTGCATCGCCAGCATCAACGCCACTCTCGATTTGATTCCCCAGAGCGTCCATGGAAGCTCGCGCACCGTCAATTCGAGGCCGAATTTTCCACGAAGCCCTGTTTCCTTCCCCTCGCCGGCGGATCTCCTGACGCCGAAATCGGCGGCTCGTATGAGGCGTGTGGATCAATCGCCGCTCTCGAATTCCATCGGAGCCCCGAATTTGAAGAAGAATCCCGTCGGAAAGGGAGGATTCAGTTCTAGGGTTTACATAGTGAGTTTCATTTTGGGGATAATTCTCTTCTGCTGTGTGTACGGATTACCCCGAAAAAGCCCTAGGGTTTTGAAGGCTCAATTTCCCCCAAATTTCGTGCAAAATTTCGGGGAGAAATTGGGGGAAATTGAAGAACTCAACGCAAAATTCATGTTCCTGAAGAATGAATTAGAATCATTTGTTGGCAACAAGGTTTCAAGCTGCAGCTCCGATGATTCCCAGTGGAAAATCAATCAGGTTTTCCTTCAAAATTCATCATAAATTTTGCACCTTCCTAGTTATTCAATTTTGATTGATTCCCATGTGATTTTTTTGACGTTGTAGAGAATTAGACATGTTTAAACTTTTCAAACAACATAGTTTATCCAGGATAGGAAGTCTAATTTTGTCTGTACAATGCAATCCAGTGTTGATTGATTTTGTTGTGTTCTGTATGATCCTTCAATCCAAGAATCAGACATGTTCAAAATTTTCGAACAATGATAGGAAGTCTAATTTCGTCTTTGTTGTGTTTGTGTGATTTTTCGACATTGGGGAGAATCAGATATCTTAAAAATTTTTGAACAATTTAGTTGATCGAAGATATGAATTCTAATTTGGCTGTAAAATGCAATTTTGATTGATTTTATTATGTTTAGTGCAATCTTTCAATGGTTTGAGAGAATCAGACATATTTAAACTTTTTGAACAAGTTAGTTGATCGATGATAAGAAGTCTAATTTTGTCTGTAGAATGCAATTTTGATTGATTTTGTTGTGTTTCGAGTAATCTTTGGATGTTGTAAGGAATCAGACATATTTAACATTTTTGAACAATTTAGTCCACTCAATAATAGGAAGTCTAATATTGTCTGTAAAGTGCAATTGATTGATTCTATTGTGTTTAGTGTTAAAATTTTGGAACAATTTAGTTGATCGATGACAAAAAAAAGTCTAATTTTGTCCGAAAGAATACAATTTTGATTGATTCTGTTCTGTACTGTATGATCTTTCGATGTTAGAAAGAATCAGACATATTTAAATTTTTCTAACAATCTAGTCGAATTCAAAAATAAGAAGTCTAATTTTTGTCTGTAGAATCGTCTGTTACTGCATTCAAAGTGCGTATTGTACAAATCAATGGTCGAGGAGGTAAGCATTTGGGGGTGGCCATTGCCAGCTGCCGGAGTTCTGACAACAGAGGGTTCTGTAAGAACACTCCTCATTTTATCCGGGAGCATCTCAGAAGTAATAAAATCCAAGAACTCGATTCACAAAACTTTAACTTATCATTACCGTATTATCGAAATTCATGTTTTTTTATTTCTCGCGCAGTGGATAAGCCCGAAAGCGAATTATTTGGTCCGAAAATCGAACAGCACGTGGGCTCAGAGAAAATGGAGCTCGACGGTGGTGCAAATGGAGTCGAACACATGGATTCTCGACTACAGGCGGTCCCTTTTGGTGGACAGTGCTGCCGGGGTGGTGGAGCTGGCGAAGTCGTGGCCGGGGAAAATTGTCGAAAAGGTTGTCCAGGGATTTCTAACCATGGCTGAAATGAGACATTATCGTCGTCGTCATCATCATTGTGATTTTATTACAGGGGGTTGTGTTGCTGCTCCTACTTAGGTTATTAGGAGATTTTTGAAGTAGTGTTTTGTCTGGTTTTTATGTTTGTAAGATAAGATGGTGTTCTTTGAAGAGAATGTGTACTTTCTTTGTATGTAATTCTCATTACTCATGAGAAAGTTTTTTGGTCCTTTTGAATTCAGAACCAATATATTTGTTTTGTCATTTTGATTTGATTTATACGTAGTTATCATTTATTTATTATTTTTGATTTCATGAAATTGTACTAAATTTTTAATATTTTCAAAACAATGTCATCGTCTATTAAATATAAGAAAAAATAATAAAGGCAGAGTTTATGAACTATGAGAGTCTTGTACAATTTTGAACTTTTTTAAGAGTACAATTGTCCATTTATTCATTTATAATATTTCATCTACTTCAAATATTCTACAATATATATATATATATATATTTTTTTTGGGTTTAGTAACACAAGATGTGATGACTGTTTAAATACGGTTGAATTCGACTTGATAAAAAAAATAAGTATATATATATTTTTTACAATGGAGAAAAACTATAAAATTACCTTTAAATTTTAAATTTATAAAATATATTTTGCAATCTTGTGACAAATAAATTTGGGTTGTGGCGTAAAAGAAGGAATGCCCAATGAATCAATGTTTTTAATTATATAATAGGCAAACCCATTTTAAAAATTACCTCGTTGGCCAACACATCCATCCATCATTTTCCTATTCATCCTCTAATTTTCCAATATCGATGGTCAATGGTCAACCCTTGCCTATTGATGGTCAAGAGTCGTACTTTTTGACCTATTTTTCTACAAATCTATCAGGCAGAGTTGACAACATCCCCCAACGGTCTCGTCCATGAGGTCCAAGCGCGTGCACCCCACAGCGGCCAGGCGGGCATTTTCCCGCGCCGGCGCCGGCGCCGGAGCTCCGATCTCCCCTCGTACTGACGGGAGCGCCCGGAAAAGGCTCCGGCGATTGCCGCATGTTTTCCGGACCGTCCTCGAATTGCCTTGCAGGTCAGACGCTGACGTCGCCGTCCAGGAGTTTCCGGGTTACTTCCGATTCATTGCCGACGTCGGAGATTTCGGGTCGGAGCAGGTCAGGGCGCGAGCCATGGAGGTCATCCCCGGCTTGATAAAGATCGTCGTTAGGGATTACGACGAAAATGACGATGACGACAGCGAGCAGCTGCTTATGGACAAATTGGAGATGGACGCATGGCGATTTCGATTCCCATCGTCGACTCGGCCGGAGATGGTGGCGGCGGAGTTCGTTGGAGGATTGCTCGTCGTGACGGTGCCCAAGGGCTGGGAGCTCGGCAACGAAGGAGATGCTTGGCATAGTCCCGGACTTGTCCTTGTCCGATGAAGTAAGCATGTCCTAAAAAGTCGTGACAGATCCCAAAATCGCCGGACTTCCCGGAAACCATTCGGGCGGCATTTCCTGAATTTATTTTGTAATTACAAAAATCGTTTGCATGGCCTGGATGATAAACATATTGGGAATGCAATATTACAAACTAAATAAATATCATTCACCAGTCCAAAATTTGTCTTAATATAATACAAATACAACATATGAACTGATAATACATTGTAATAATCTGCACAACACATAATATCATTGATCTCATCACAAAATATGAATTCATCGACCGAATCCGTAAAACATGTGATTTTGATTACCTCTATTCAGCGCCATAACTATTCCCGTAATCTCAAACATCATCGTACCATTACGGAAAATAAGGTACCAAGAAAAGACACCATGTAATAAATAAGAAGCCAAGAAAATTGCATGCTGATCAATTTAAGCAACCATATCTATCCATAAGAAACCTACATGCAAATCTACGATCGAATCGATCATCTAGAAGCCTCGGTCAATATGATACTATTATCTAAATCATCGATAGAGAAAAGGGTTACGTTATTGCGGCATGAATAGGTAATAATAACAATAGAGCCAAAACAAGTCCAAAATAAAATAAAAAAACGGCAATCTACATAAGTTTCCTAGGATAGCCGGCATGCCACAATTGCGTAAAACAAATTTAATTATTACCGATTAATGGACAAAGGTATAGCCTTCAAGCGGAGCGAACTTCTCAAGAATCTGCGCCTCCTGCTTCGCCGCTTCCTTTTGCTTCACTTCCCATTCCGATTTTTCGAGGTTAGCTGTCTTAACCTCGTTGACGATCTTCGGTAATGAATTCAAGATTCTCTTTTGAGTGGCGGTGAGTTCCTCGATCTGGGCTTCGTTCTCCTCGACAGCTTTCGCTAATACGTCTCTACGAGCCTGAAGCTTCGAAATTTGCTCGTCTATTTCTTGAATAGTCGGCGAATACGCAATCTCAGCCTGGAGAACAGCGATCTTATCCTTCGATAAAGTATATTTACTCTTAAGCTTACTGACAAGCGCAATGTTCGTCTCAAGATCTGCGAAGAATTTACTCGCCTCCGACTTCACCTGCTTCGCACTTAAGAAATGGTTGCTGACGTCGGGAATTTCGAGAATAAGATCGAGCATTGAAAGCTCTTCCAAGGTCAGGTCGGGATCGGATCGAAGCTTCGACGATAGGCTCGTAACCAGAGGGAGTTTGTTCGACGAGAACAGACTCGATAAATCATGAGAAAGAAGGGAAGAAAGCTCCTCCCGTACCCGAGCGAAGTCGACTTCGGTTTCCAGCAAAGACGAGTCCAACGTCGGAGCTTCGGGCACCGACTGATACAAAATGTCATCGAGGGAGTTGAGATAATTGTCAAAATCCTCCGAACTCATCTCGGTTATATGATTCATCTGAGAATTCGAGTCCTGACGCTTGCGGCGTGATCCCGACTGGCCGTTAGCGTTTTTAACCGGAGAAATCTCGGTAACGGAAGTTAAATGGCCAGTGGATACTCCTTCGGTTAACACCAAGTCCGTCGAAATTGCTCGGTCCTCGTTCGAAAGAAGCTTTCTTGTCGAGTTCCTCGTTCTCCGGACAAATGGATTTTCGGTTTCCCCGTCGGTCTTCGGAATCGAGCCCTGGTTAGAATTAGCAGAATTTCTCGTTCTCTTCGCAACTTGACTCCCTGATTCCGCTTCGACCTTTGGAATAGGCTCCTTGTTGGAAATTTCCGAGTTTCTTGTTCTCTTTCTTGTCTGAATAGGCTCTGGTTCATGATTCGGAGGGGTCGATGTTTTCCTTGGCGTAGATTGCTTCCTAGGTGTCGATTTTCTTGCAGGTGTATTCCCGGTAGGCGCAATCGTTGTAGGAACAGATATTTCCTTCTTAACAGACGTAGCTTTTTTAGCTGCAACGGGCTTTTCTGCAGATGCTTCTTTTTTCACTGCAATACACAAAACGCACCTCAATGTACGCAAACACATAAATAGTCCCACAAAGTAATAAACGAGCATAATCCTAAGTATTAGCAGATGTTCAGTGCAGACAAGAATTAAGGTTTAGAGAAGTGTAAGAGTCGAAGCTACCTATTGGCGCAGCCCCTTTTCCCCCCGGTATGTCCCAAGTAAATGATGCGAAGAAAGCATTGACATCCGCATCCGGAAACTCAGAATTAAGAAACCGTATCACAGCATCCTTGCTGCCGAGCCATATTTTCCTCGTCGGGGTTTTTTGAAGCCTTTTCGGAACAATCAAGGACCTATGAGTGTAGTAGCCAGCAGGATTAATCTTGTTTCCCACTTTCCATGTCCAAATATCGCCGGGATTTGGCCAATCTACGGGAGCATATGGATGCCCTTCTCCAGATCCACACGGTGGAATTGGATTATGAACGCCATTTGCCGATACTTCAGTCTCCATTATCTCGAAAAAATTGCTGTCATGTAACAATAATCAAACCACAAAGACAAAGATTATGTTGGAACATTTGTTTAGCGCCATAAACAGAAACAACTATGTATCAAATATACATATAACTAATTAAACCTCCAAATTCGTCGCATAAATGCATTTATAAAAAAGCTTCAATTCACATAAAACTGCGAATAATCCATATACACAACACACATATAACTAGTTAAACCTCCAAATTCATCACATAAATGTTGATACAAAAGCTTCAATTGACATAAAACTGCGAATACTCGATACACAAAACACTCACATATTTAACTAATTAAACCTCCAAATTCATCACATAAATGTGTTGATTCACATAAAACTTCGAATAATCCTCCAAGCATTAGAAGCAGTTGAACTCATCCAAAATGATCAATAACCCTAATTCACAAAACAAAGAAAAGCTTGAATTTGCATTGCTTATTTCCATTTTTGAACTTATCAGATTCACATTTCATCAGAAGCTAAGAGACAAATAATCAAACACTTTACTAGCATTCATCTACAAGTTCCTAGTCACTTCAACAATCTACTCTCCAGTGCACTAGCTGAACAAATTGCACTGTGGAGAATCAAATACGACAAATTCTAGCCACTTTTGTTTTGATTAATCTACCTTCTAAATTGGAAATTTTATCCAACCCTAATCTTCGGTTTTCCGACACAGTAACAAACAACAGCGAAACGAAATCGGCAACAGAAATTAAAATTCCACAAAAATATAATATCAAAGAATCACTAACATATCCAATCTAAACACACAGATCTCTCCCCAGCGTCTGCTTGTAGATTTACAGCTCACCTGGTTTTCTATGATTTTCACAAGACAATAACACGCCGATCGACTTCAATCAAAAGATAAACACAAAAAAAATGAACAGATTGCACAAAGGAGATTACCACGGAAGCCGCGACGGAACTGGGCGCCGGAGGAAGGGTTTCCGAAGAAATCGATAGCCCTTCAGACCGCTTGTGGATTTTATCAAATAAAAAGGAAGGCAGTAGACCGTGGTTTTACTTTTGTACTGTAGGACAGATGCTGAGAGGTCCTGGGACTTCAAACACCAGGTACACGTGTGGGCCGTGTGGAGTAACTGGAGTTTAAAACCCGGAGCTCCTAATAGACGAAGATTAGACATACAATGCTAAATAAATCAACTTAATTACTGTCTATAATGACAAATATATATTTCACTTATCTTATTTTTTAAGTGTTTACAATATGTTACTGCATCTTCCAAATAATTTGTCCTTAGTTTGTATTTTCATTTATCCCACATAATTTGTCCTCTTATTTTTTGAAAATTAATTATGTATTTTAATCATATTTTAAAATTTAAATTTTAAATTTTTTTAAATTTAATTAAACTATTTAATTATCTTAATCTTAATCTATAATTATTTTATTAATACAATTTTTTAATTATTTACTAATTATATTTTACTTAAATTTTTGTATCTAAAGTAATAGAGCCATATTACCTTAGACAGATGAAGTATTTAATTGTTTAAAGTACTTTTTATGCTCATATACTTGACACAAATTTTAATAAAAATAGATTAAAAGATTTAAGTTTTTTTTTACTATTTTTCATGACAATAAAAAAATGCTAGTATAAATTTATATGACAAGATGAGTATTATATAATTTGTTGTTGTTTTTTTTTTATTATTATTGTATTTTTCAGTATAAATTTACAGTGATTTATCTCACTTTCTTAAAATATTTGAATATTAGAGTGTGTTTTATTTTGAATAAAAATTTTAATATAAAATATATATGAATTTATATAGATAATATAAAAATAATAATTGTGTGTACTATATTAATATTTTTAAAAAATGCATTGAAAATTATTTATTAAAGAAACAAACCTTTAATTTTTATTTTTTTTTTTTTGTTGTTGCATTTTTTTGAATTTTTTATGTTATAAGAAAAACTAATTTATATGTTCAAAATATTTATTTATATTACATCAAATAATTATTTAAATTTAAATTTTTATTAATTAAAATATAAAACAACCACACCTTTACTTATATATAGTGTATATATATATATAATACGTACATGCACATATACATACGGGCTCAATTACCCTGTCCCTGTGTCCTTATACCGACTAATCATCATCTGATATATGTATTTAATTTTTTTATTTTATTACCTTTTTTTGCTTTAAAAATATATATAACAGATGATGATTGGTCGGTATAAAAGAGCTACTATACATTGTGATAGGGTAATTGAACCCTCTACGTACACATAATACACATGATATATACTCACTTATATATGTTAATAAAGATGCAGTGCCCGCAATGTGTTTGTTTTGTGAAAATAGTTACTCCAATAAAGATGCAGTACACATAATTTGTTTGTTTTGTAAAAATAGTTACTCCTTCCGTCCTTTAGTAATCTATCAATTTTTTTATTTTGGTCAGTTTCATAACAAAGTATTCATTTCATTTTTTAGTAATTGTACTGTTTACCTAACATTACAAATACACTTATAATTTACAATATATTACACAAATGTCGTTACCTTTCTATCATACAATATTAATATGGTTAATTTAATTTTTTTTACCTTTATTTCTACTTTACCCCAATATAATACTAATATTTCTAAAATTCCGTACAAAAAAAATATATAGATATAGGACGGATGGAGTATAAGATATAATTATTTTATAATAAATATAAAAATAATAGATATTTATAATATATTAATACTTTTTAAAAAATATATATAAAAAAAAATAAAAATTAAAAAGAACAAACCCATTATTTTTATTAAAAAATAAGTAGTTTGTTTGTCATGTCAAAATGATATTTTAGTCGAGTGTAACAATTATACTCCCTCCGTCCCATTGAAAGGTTGTCATTTTTCATTTTTGTCCGTTTCAAAACAAGGTTATTATTTTCTAATTTAGTAATTGTACTACTTACCTAACATAATAAATACTCTACTTTTACATTATACAATACTAATAGGGATATTTTTGTCTTTTTTTCACTACAATTTATTATAATACTAATATTTAAAAATTTACGTGCAAAAAAGTAAATAACAACATAGCACAGGACAGAGGGAATACATGAGTTTAAATAAATTAAAAATAATAATATTTTATTTAAAATATGTAAAATAAATTGGGATATTTTTATTTTTACAAATATAAAAAGATATAAATATTTTAGTAAAATTAAAAATATTTTAAATGCAACAAACAATAGTATTAAAAATAATTTTTTTTAAGACGGTAAGCCAAGTGTAAATAAAAAATTCCAAATTTTAAATTAAAATAATAAAAAAAAATGATAATTGAAGTAATGTTTTAGAGGAAAAAAATTGCTAACACTAGTATTTTATTTTTAAGAGAATATTTGTATAAAATAATTATGTGAATAATATAAAATTAATGAAAATAAATAAGTATATTAATTTTTTTAAAAAAATGTATTAGAAAATTTTTAACCAAACAAACAAAACCTATATATATTTGAATTATGAAAGAATTATCACTGAAAATTGAATAATATAAAATCATCTACCAGATAATCATGGCGTTCGAGTAAAATTCCTTGATTTGAAAACATCAGACCCCGATAATGGCAGAAGAGACGGTACCTGGCTTCCATCATGTTGCTAGAGAAACCCTTGATGTCAAACGTCTAGCCCAGTTCTACGCAGAGGTTGCGCTCATTTCTGTCAATTTTCATTCAATAGATTGAAAAATTGCAGCTATGCGATCCATTTTTCCGTGAATTTATTTTTGAATCTTGAATTCTGCTGTTGAGTTTTTTAATATATATGAAGTCTGCTTGCGTAGAAAGTCTCGCTTCGTGTTTGAGTAAATACGGATGAATCGAAACTTTTCGATCTTTTGGATTTGTTAATTTTTAGGTTTTAGTATGTGGATGGGGAACACAATATTGAATCCAATTTTGTGTTAACTGCAATATTTTGTGTATCTCGTTGTTCTCTGCATCCTTCGAGATTTTTTTCCCCTGAATTTGAAAAAGTTAGGTTGTCCTGAGCTGTGGTTTTGTTTCAGATTTTCGGTTTCGAGCAAATTGAGAGTCCAAAATTTCCGTGTGAGGTGATATGGATGAAATTAGGTTCATTTTATCTGCATCTGATTGAAAAGGATCCTGAATCTAAGCTTCCAGAAAGTCCATGGAATGCAACTGCAGCAGTGACAAACCCTAAGCATCTTCCCAGGGGACACCACCTCTGTTTGTATATGCCTAATTTCGAATCCTTTGTTCAGAGCCTTAAGGTGAGCTGCATAGATTACTGTCTTCATTTTATCAATTTGTTCTGCCTAAAATTCGATATTATGTTGTGTGTTGAAGGAAGACTAGTATGGCCAGTAGTGTTGTTCTCCATTTCCTTTAGCTCGATGAATCTGTTAATAATTGCCACAAATGGAGTCGAATTTTATTGTATGCCTAATTTCGAATCCTTTGTTCAAAGCCTTAAGGTGAGCTGCATAGATTACTGTCTCCATTTTATCAATTTGTTCTGCCTAAAATTCGATACAATGTTGTGTGTTAAAGACAATTATGGCTGGTAATTTTGTTCAGATTGTTCTCGACTCTGTTGATAATTGCCACAAATCGAGTCGAATCCATTGATTTATACTTCTGTTTGTATATTCCTAATTTCGAACCCTTTGTTCAAAGCCTTAAGGTGAGCTGCATAGATTACTGTCTCTATTTTAACAATTTGTTTTACCTAAAATTCGAGATCATGTTTTGTGTTAAAGATGAGTATAACATTTAGTGTTGTTCTCCATGTTCCTTTAGCTCGATGACTGTTGATAATTTCAATGAACAAAGTTGAATTCAGTTGCATATTGATTTAGAATTCGACGAAATTGCAATTTGGTTGGGTGTACAATGGCTCCAGTGGGGTTGATTATACATAGGGTCAAATGTAATCGATGACTTTAATTTTTTTGTAGATTCGTTGATGTTCTCCATGTTTAGGCTTTTTATTTTTGCATGTGATTTTTGAACAGATGACAGATTCTAATACTAGAAATTAAAGAAATTATTCTTTATCTTATTTTGATGGCTTCAAAATCTTGTTTCTTTGGAGTTTCGCCTATTTTATAGAGTCAAGTTCGACTTTATATAACACCCTACCACTTCGAAATACAAATTTATACAAGTATTTTCCAAATCGTTTAGCAAACTTACGTAGTTTTACACATAGGAATATACATTATCTGGCGCTGACTTTCGTAAGTGACAAATCCAAATCTGAAAATTCGATAGTTAAATCATTGAATTTAGATGCTTTCACTACTTTGTGATATAGGGATGTAGGCAGTGCATTTTATAATTTCGCTAGTTTTCTTGCGCTCTATAATTTCTTGCAATCATCTTCTTTCTTTTTTAACTTTCGGATCAGGAAAAAGGCATCGAGATTCATGAGAAGACCTTACATGATGGGAAAACCAAGCAAGTGTTCTTCTTCGACCCTGATGGTGCGTCCGTCATTCATTATTCAAAACTGACATCGGTTACGACTCTGCTGAGGTCTCTAAACTTGACGGAATTTTTTGGTTCTAATTTGGCAGGGAACGGTTTGGAGGTTTCGAGCCGGCTGCATTGTTGCTACTAAATAGCTGTAGAGGTACGCGCCGTAAAAGGTACGGAGAAGAAGTGGAAATACATGTACTTTGAAACTTCAGCTAATGTTCATTAGTATGTATTAGAAGCTCGAGCATGCTCGACTCGACCGTTGGCGTCGAGTTGAGCCGCTCGAAAGTTAAGGTTGTTAATCATAATGACGAATAAAATTATTTACATCTTTAATAACGGCGGCGGTTAGAGTGCTAATGATCTAATTAGCTCGAATTAACACACAATAGTAAAAATTTGATAATAGTTCTCAATTGATCTTGTTGTGGTAAGAACGATAGAATATGGTAAAAATTTAGACAATACATGTTGACTTAATTTAAGTCGAACAGTTATTTATATGTTGCACTTTTACGGCCCCGTTGAAAAGCACATATATATATATATATATATTGATTGTGTTATAAAATAATTAAATGAAGGACATATATAATTTTAGAGGTTTGTATATTTAAGTAATTAATAGTTAAATTAAGAAGTAATTATTGTTATTTTATAAAGTTCAACAACGCAATAACCACAGTGCGTACTTTCGGGTATTAAGTTCGACCAGGGTTTACCCAGTGCGCACTTTCGAGTAGCAGCTGTGGGTTCCCACGTCATCCAAAAATAAAAATAAAAAATATATGGTTATACAATAGACTTGTCTAGCTATTAGATTTGGCCGAGATTTAGACAGTAGAATAAAAACAGAAACGGTTAATAGTGGTGAAATTCAACATAGGAACAAAACAGAGAAACAATGTATCTTCAACAATTATTATCCTCCTTATTGACCATTTCATTACAATCTGATAACAATGCATATTCCATGTCTGCTGCTGATTTTTATTCGATTGATTTCACGCCTCGACCGGCAAGTTCTCCGCCTCCTTTCTGACCGACTCGAACAACACTGACGACAGATATCGCTCTCCAAAGCTCGGAAAAATAACCTACAACAAATTGGATCGATGTCATTACAATTTACTTACTGCAAGAGTCTTACAATATATATCTTCTCTTAGGTTGCGGCGCACTTACCACGATGAGCTTCCCGGCATTTTCAGGGTGTTTCGCAACCTTAATAGCAGCTGCTGCCGCAGCACCGGACGATATCCCCACCTATACATGTTCGCCGGGTTGTTAAAGTGTTCGACATGTAAGAAAAGGTCGTGAATAGGATGTAATGAAAGGGGGGGGTTCAAGGGTATTAGTTATTACTCTTGTCAACGAAAAGACTAAAAAAATAAACTAAAAATATTTCAGAAATTTCATAAACACAGTATAATTGATAGATAGTGTTTGGCAACAATATAAAATGAAAAGTAAATATAAATTTGGTAGATTGTGTTTGGCAACAATATAAAATGAAAAGTAAATATAAATTTGGTGGACGAAAAGAATACGTACCAAAAGTCCTTCTTTTAGAGCCAAAAGCTTCGCTGTCTCGATAGCCTCCTCGCTCGAAACCTTAAAGCAAACGGGGAAGAAAGACGAGGGCGCCTCATTACTTAACCGAAGAAATTACAACTCTACGTGAAGATACAAATTCGGGCAATTGTAAACTTACTTGAACAATTTCATCGATGAGATCGACATCCAAAATTTCAGGTATGAATCCGGCCCCGATCCCTTGTATCTTATGTGGACCTTAGCCATTACACGAATTCGTTACGTCAAAAGCATTTGACAACTAAGAAAAGAAAACACAAGAAGATCAAGAACTTAAAACTCACCGGGCTTTCCTCCCGAAAGAACCGCGCTCTCAACAGGTTCAACAGCGTAGAGCTTAAAAAAAACAAGGAAACCACGAAGAAAACACGATAAAAAACACAACAACATAGCAACAAGAATCGAACATCGCAAAAAAGAGACAACCTTAACGTCGGGATTCTTCTCCTTAAGATACCTCCCGGCGCCGGTGATCGTGCCTCCCGTCCCGATTCCCGAAACGAACGCGTCGATCTTACCGTCGGTTCCTCTCCACACCTCCGGCCCCGTGGTTTCGTAATGTATCTAAAAAAAAATCGACGTATCTAACAAAATCTCTGGGAAACATGTGAGCAAAGTATTGGGACAACCTTAGGGTTAGCCGGATTGGCGAATTGTTGAAGTATGTAAGAATTCGGCGTTTGGTCCCTCAATTCCTCGGCCTTTTGGATCGCGCCTTTCATGCCTTTGGCGGGGTCAGTGAGGACAAGCTTTGCGCCGAATGCAAGGAGGATAATTCGGCGCTCGAGGCTCATGGTCGAGGGCATGGTAATGATGAGTTTGTAGCCCCGGGCAGCCGCCATGAAGGCTAAGCCGATGCCGGTGTTGCCGCTCGTCGGTTCGATTAGGACACTCTTTTTTCCGACACGACAAACAACAATGTCAGATGTCCAGACAATCGAACAACAACGATTGTAGCAACAAGGAACATAGTAACATCCCAATGATTTCACAACACAATAATCCAACTCATAATAGATACATTCAATGCGTATCGGAAAAATCAGCACCCATAAAATATAAAAACTCTTTATTATAAACAACATATATTGCTTGTAATAATGACATGCGTTGTTTGTTAATAATTACAACGTGTGTTGTATAAGTGTATGTAATGTGCTGATTATGTGTCATATGCATATTGTTAGTTCATGTGTTGTGTTTGTATTATATTAATATAAATGATGTGTTGTCTGTTTTCTAGCTACTTGTGTGCTATTCAACACTAAGCTGCCGTCATTAATATTAAAAATCTCTTTCAATATTGTATAAAATATCGTATTAAAATATTATTTAAATAAAAAAATAAAAAAAAAAAATAAAAATAAAAATAACTGTGTACACATAAACACTTTATATAGTTAGTGTGGTTAGGGGCATATGTTTACATATATCATCAATTACTTTTGACAGTTCACACTATTAGTTAACAATAACTATTATTCTAAAAAATATATATTACACTACTAAATATTTAATTAGCAAAATATATATATATCATCAAACATCTATTTTTATACAAAATATTTTACTGAATATTTATTTATATTACATTAAACACCTCAATTTTCCAGCATCTCCGGATCATTCTTTCTCCGGACCATTCCCATCAAGCAATTTAAGTTTTTAAAAATTTTCCAAACTTTACGAAAACATTTTTGTAAAAAAAAAAAAATACAAATCACGTCAACGTATTCTTTTTCTTCTTATTGAATATTATACTCTCTTCGTCCCATTAAAAAGTTGTTATTTTCTATTTTTATCTGTATAACTGTACTATTTACCTAATATAATAAATACTCTTTTCAATTTACACTATATCATACAAATACCATTACTTTTATATTACGCTATTTTAGAAGAAGTATTTTTATATTTTTTACTACAAATCCAATATAATATTAATATTAAAATATTTACATGTAAAAAATCAAACGGTAATATTTATACCGAACGGAGAAAGTATCAAATATTGACATTTTCTTTTAATTGTTTTTAAAATTTTCGAATCTCCAAATATATAAACACGTAGGGAACGTACCTCTCCAGGTGTGATTAGGCCTTTGGCCTCAGCATCAGCGATCATACTGTAACCAATCCTGTCCGTTCATTCCAAATACACCACATTGATTCAAACAACATTAGATAAGGGGTTTCTGTAGGCTTTTGAAAATTTGGAAGCTTGGAAGAAATAAAATTTGTAATCTAGGTCCCGTAATTATGTATCAATTTGTCTTTTTTACGGAGTTTTAAAAATATTAGTATTATATTGGGATGCAGTATGAATAAAATAAAAAGGACTAAAATAATCTTATTAGTATTGTGTTATATAAAGGTAATGAGATTTGTATAATATAATGTAAGTTGTAAGGGTATTTGTAATGTTAGGTAGATAGATACTTTGTTATGGGACGAACTAAAATAAAAAATTGGATAATTTTTTATGGGACTGAGAGAGCATTTGATTTGATGTTTTGTGAGAGAAAAAATATATTTTGATATGATGATTTTTAAAAATAAATAGTGCCAAAATGAGTTAAAGTGAGCCTATATAAATTAAATTAGACGAAAATAAATACCAGAAAAGGATTCAATAGTAATAATAATAATAATTAAATAGACAATCTATTCATTTTTTATTTTTATTTTTGCCTATCTATTTTCTTTTTAGGAATTAGCATTACAAATATCCTTTCAATTTATCATATATTACACAAATATCATTACTTTTATATCATACAATACTAATAGAGTTAATTTAGTTTTTTTACTTTTATTTTTACTTTATCCCAATATAATATCAATATTTTTAAAACTCCATCTAAAAAGCAATGAATGTATATAGATATGGGATGGAGGGACTATATATATATATATATATAATGAATAAAATTAATTAATTAGATAGGGTACCTGTCCTTGACACTGGAGCAGGGTTCCATGGATTCGAGCTTGGCGGCGACACGAGCAACGCATCCATGGACAATATTATTCAGGTACACCAATGGAGTTTCCCCAATCAGCTGCAATTAATTATTCAAATATTCTATTCAATTCGATAAATTAATTAAATCAAATAATTCATACTAACTTACTTGAGTGATATCCTTGGCGATTCCTGCACTTTTCTCCTCAGCCATATGCAAAGGATCTGCAGGCACTTCAAACAAGTTTTAAAGATTAATCAATATTATTATTCTTACAGAACAACTGCAAATGTAATAGCTAGCAAGAACAAACCTAATTTTTACCAATTTCAGATCTTCTATCTGTTGAGATCTGCTGTCTGAAAATTGACAATAAAATGACCTCCTAGAAATTCTCGATATATATATATATATATATGTATATAATGAATGTGTGTGAGTTGGACTTTTCCTTTGGAAACCACGACTGGTTCAGTTCGTCTGCTTAATTAATTCATCATATATATATATATATAGATATATATAAATATATATATTTTCAATAAATAAATAATTCAGGTTGGGGATTAAATTAAATTAAATTAACGTTAATCACTCGATGAATGTGGCCCGGATTCCGGTGTTGTGCAACTACAAAGAATTATTACATTTTTCAATTATATATATATATAGATAGATGAAGTCAATGCATAGGAATATATCACACACCATCCACGGATTACTTGTGTGTTGGTGAGGATTGCTAAGAACTGTATCATATTCTAAAATAATTTCATATTTTTGAGAAAATAATTATATATTATTACTTCATCCATCGTAAAAAGATACTCAAAGCACAAATTTTAATATAGTCTCTACTTTTTTACTATAATAATATATTTTTATTAAATAAAAAAAATAAGAATATTTTAAAATGATGACAAAGTAAAATTAAAGAAAAAAAAAACATAAATTTAAATAATAGAAGAAATATTATTTTATTCTACAAAATAGCGGGTCTAACCAATAAAATATGAACACAAATTCAAAGTAAATAAAGTAAAATTAACCGTTATAAAAAGTATATATATATATATATTTATATATCCAAAACGAATGCAGACATAATGATGGTGCCTTATTTATTTAAGTATTATTAACGAGGTTGAAACTATCATTATATTATGAAAATGAAAGATAAGGATTAGTCAGAAATTAATTTGCTGGACGATTTTGGATGCTTCTTTTGCATTATGGCCCACACTCAAATGAACAAAGCCCTATTTAGGACAATCATTCATCCCACATTAGTAATAATAATAATAATATGAACATTATCTATAAAAGATTTCCAGACAGTGACAGCCTAAATTAGAACAATAGTACTGTAATAATAATAATATCTTCTTTAACTTTATGCAATTTGTACTTTGGACAATCCCAAAGGCCACCATTGGTATTGCACCACTTTGTTCGACCCTAACTATTTTTTGAACCAAAATACAAAAAAAACTATCATTTGTATTTTTACAAAAAAAAAAAAAAAAAAGATTAAATTTGCTGGACGAAAGAATATTGTTTATTCAATTTTGACCCCAAACGAATAACATGCAAATGTGGATTTTTTAAATCAACACAGTAAAATACAGAAACAACACATGTCTTTATACATACAACATATACTATTTGTTTATAATTACAATATGTATTATACAAAAGTATGTCATGTGTTAAAATCAATCAATTATTGTATGTGTTATATGAGACTATATCATTTGCTGCTAAGTCATGTGACTATTTACTGTCCGTAGTAATACCGTGTGCTGCACACGGTGTGCTATTTAGCACAGTGCTGAATTTTACATTCAACACTATAGCCAATTTTACATTCAACACTATAACCACCGATATATATATATATATATATATATGAGAGATTTAAATTCAAAAGTGCATTGATAAATACAATATACACATGCAAAGGCATTTCAAATGCAAATTTTTGACCATAAACTCCACAAGAAATTTCAGCAAAATCTGAAAACAAGAGGATTCCTCAAATCTTTACCTAACAAGTAAAACCATCTTCAAAAATTAATTTTTATTCATTTATTTTTGTTGGGATTGCCTGAATTCCCTCATGCTCACAATTGTGACCTTTTTCCTGATGTCATAACTAACCTTGTCAAGATCAGCAACTGTTGCTAGATGGCCATAGAACACCCTCTTCTTCTCCCGCGACTTGGGATCGAATTTCACCAGATTCGGATTGTTCTCGTCGTCCTTACCCACTGTCGGGGGCTGAACACGAGACCAATCCCTTAGCCCGCGCTTCTCCCTCTCGAAATAGTCAGCCAGCTTGAGAGCTTCCTTCAACCCCGATTCGTCACCCGAGAATTTCACCGCATGCATTCCCAAAAAGCCTTCTCGGGCATGTAAGGACGTCGACTTGCCACTCGCAAATCCAAGATCTAATATATATATAAATCACACAAAAGAAGCTGATGTAAGGATCACGTGGATTTAAACTGCAATTCGAAAGCCTAAGAATTGAAACACACTAAATAAGAAAACTGGAATTTATGGATCAAACTGCGACAGTATCACTACGATGTCAACTGTAAAATGCAGATGAAAGATCGTATGCATTTGCATTCAATCAGAAGCTGATGAATAGAACGACACTAAAGGATGCTCACTTTAGCACCCGGAAAGTTCAAGAATATATGCACAGTTGAAAATTAGCTACGAGGGTATCATCGATAATCAACAATTTCCCTAATCTCCTTTCTTCTTATTTCCTTTCAAGATATAAAATCCATTGGACCAATACATGCTTTGAAATTATTTTAGAGACCGTAGCTTCCTGCAGAATCCAATACCTAATCCAATTCTCCAAGAAAGTCTTGAAAAAGAAAGCTACTCGTTACACAGAAAACAATGCATCTTCTGCAATGGAATGCTCTATTTGCTCAAACAACAAAATGCATAAATTAAAATATATACAAACCTAAACTAGATACCAAAAGTGGGGATGCGGCGAGAATAGAGAATGACAGAATGATTCACGTCATGAATAGACTCCTAAAATGCTATCTCAATGGGAAAAAAAATGTACAGATAGTAATCCACTGCAGAAAGGGAGAAAGATCGATTATAGTAACGAGCAGTTACCCCCTTTAATTTTTTTCCTTTCAACTATCACAATAAGACAAACTAAGTTTTCAGATACACAAAAATCTTGCTAGTATTAACTACAAATCAAAGTAAAATCAAGAAAATAAGAGCTAAAATTTTCTCTGCAATGTGATAATAACACCAGCATATAGGATTGTCACGGGTAACTTCAATTTACACACCAAGGGTGTGATCTAAACATGGACTAATATAATTGCAAATGAGTTCAACAAAAGAATTGTTGTAAGAAATCAAAGTCGATTACATAAAACAATCCTAACATTACAAGGGACATGGCCACCAGTTTATGGCCTCAGGCAATGATAAGCTCCTCAGCTTACCAAAACAAACTAGAGTCTAAATTTAAATTACCGCACAGCTTAACTAAGGAGGGCATACTGGAACAAAATTGGATAAAACGTAAATCTCCAAAAGGTTCCTCCATGCGGCTCAATGTTATGGCGATTAGACAGTTCTCCCTTCAATGAAGGGTGGGTGATTATTTAGTGTTTACTATAAGGTTGAAAAAACATATGGATAATTTATATCGAAACATGCTTCAGATGTATTAAAATTGTCTTCCCAAGGTGTGCGCACATAGGAAATGTTATAGTGCTAGGGCAAATGGCACAATGAGTGAATGCACCATTGAAGCAACAAAGAGCCGGTGATAATTATGCTTCAAAATATGCCATAACTTCCAAGGTGCGTGTGCTTCTGCCCTATATAAAGATCACTGCATAATGTAGAGGCAGATAAAAATTGCAAAAAATAAATAAATATATAACAATCCTAGAATAATGACAAGGGTGCTATAGCCATGTGCACAGTCACGGAGTACTTACCCGTAAAGGTGGTAACAATTTAAAAAACATGAAGATATGGACTATAATGGTGGTAACATTGATCAAGTTATATAAGATAGCAAAAGCTAAATCAGGGGAAGACGAAATCATTCCGAGGATGCTATAAATCACAAATATGATAGATCAATTACTTCCATCACCATGGAAGATCAATAATCAACTCATAGAAAAATCTAAATATTGAACAGAAGAAAAATATGACAGAGAATGGGATACGTGATACCTCTAAGAATACTATCCATTGCTCTGTTTCCTAAGCCTTCAATACGTCCATCTCTACCTTTTCCTGAGATGGTATTATGGATTAAGACAGTGGGTGGCCACATAATCAGGTCGTACTGATTAGCATGTGCATCATCCGCAGAAAAATTCCGATAGGCTTTAGAATTATCAGGGGGCACCGAATAGTTCCAACCCATTAGAATGCATAAAGCCTTGTGGAAAGCCAGGTGATCAACAACTGAATCTGCATTGTCTGTGTTGTATGCATGCATAACAAGACTATGTGTGTCGGGAAACTCTTTCGAGGACCTGTATTTCATGTCAAAACCGTGCAGTGATAATCTCAGTGCAAGCACTAGTTTACAAAACAAGAAGATAATAGGATGTCACACTTGCATTTTCTGCACTGAGCTGGAGATGAATCAATTATGATTCACATACCCACACACAAAATATAAGGCTTCGAAAGCCAACTAAATCATGCAATCAAAAGATCAAGTGGATAGGTTAAAGAGTTATTTCTTGGCAGCATCCTGGCTGCAAGATTGATTCAGCTATTGGAAACAAAATGTAGCTTACTCTAGTCATAAGATCATCTGTCAGTATATCATATATATATATATATATATTTCATTGCAATAAAGAGAGATTTAGTATTTATGTCTGTGTGAACACAACTGAATTCAGCTTCCAGACAATAGCCAGAATCAGTGAAACTTGAAGTCTTCAAACAGGCACGAATAGCCATACACCCATAAAAAGCAACGTAGAATTAACAATAACACAATAGGTCTGCTAACAAATTTTTAACTAATAAATGTAATCCACTAAAGAAAGGACATTGTCACAAATTCTCTCACAATCTAATTTAGTAAATAAAGGACAGAAGTCATTTCTTGGAACCATTGCAAGCCTGACCGCATAAACCATATCTTCCCCTTTTCTGAACCCCACCAGAAAATGATCTACCAGAACATGTCTTTCTACTAAGTCTCTAAACTCTTTCATACGCACAATGTCTTGCATGTCCTTGAATCTCTCGCTCATATAATACTATATGAAACCATCCCCACCACAAGCAATGGTATTCACCCAGTCTGTTCACCTGAAATGTTCTAAAGCAGTCCTCTCTCTATCCCTACTCAGCTCCGTGAACTCCATAGATGTCAAAGTGAGAGTGGTTAACTATATAATAGTCAAGTTCTGTGAATAGAATCAGAAACTCCCTTGGAGTCCAACTATATCCATTTCCATCGCTGAAACAAATAAATTCCCACTAATACCTTCATCGGACACAGAAAACTTTGACCACTTTGAATCTAGCCAAACCTAGCTTTACCTTCATTCAGCTTTAAGTTTCTACAAACAAGATCAAATGTAAAAATTCCCCCCTTTTGGCAGGAAATATACGTAGTATAGTAGCAAGAATAACAAGAAGAAAAAACAAAATATATGAAAGAAAAAACAAATTGATCTAGAGATGATCCTATAGTGTGGTGACACACCAGATTTACCTACAGGCTCCATAACAATAATTTATGCTTCAAAACTTAATTAGAACTCAAAAGCATGTGAAAATTAAATAGGATAAATATGAAATCATTAACATATCAAACCCCCTCAAGTAAGGTGATAAGAAATATACCAGTGGTGAAAGCTTTTCAAAGAATTATCGGTGTTCCTAAACTTCGACACCAACAAGAATAGGAAAACAATACAAAAATAATTCACATCTTGTACCCCCATGAGTATGGTGACCACAAAGACACCTGTGAATTCAACAACAATTATGATGCTCTTAAACTTCATTAGAAACTAGCAGTAAATAGGACATGAAATTTTGTACATATAACACCCTATGATAAGTTGAGAGCCAAAGAAGTACTAATACAGGATCCCATAAGAGATTTTGCAAATAAGGATTAGTATTCTTCCCATTTGAACAATACAATATTTCAACTTTCTGAATGTAACACAAATAGAATTTGAGCGAATAAAATAAGAAAGCCTACTAAAGCTTCAATTCTATTTATATTCAGCGGTAAAGTCTTATGAGATTGTCAATCACCTGAGAGTGTGACTACTATGGGAAAAATAGATTATTTTATACATCAATAATCACATGTTTGCTCTGAAGTATAAAGGCCCGTACAAATCCTTATACCTGTGATTCGTATACTAATACGATTTTCATATACTATCAAATAAGTATGATATAATAATATTTTAAATTATGATCATATATTATAATCCTATCATTTTAAGTAAGCACACCGTATCTAGATTATTATGCCACAAGTGACATTGATGTCATTCATTTTTTATCCCACAAAGTTCTACATGTAAAGCACAATTTTCAAGGATCACAAAATAAGTGAAATATGACTTTCTTTGAGGGATAAACAAGACTAAATACCTTTCCATTTCCTATAGGTAGACCCAAACAACTGAAAGGCAAGTATGTGTATAGAACTCCTAATTGCCCCCAACCAAGCTTTGGGTGCTGCCATGGTACTACATTAACAAAGCCCAAGAAAAAAGGACCGATTGTATACTTAGAGAAAATGGAACACCAAGGTAGAATGCTAAAGATAAATATCATGTACATACTATAATGTGAAAAAACGATTCCTATGCAATGTGCCAAGATTTCAATAATATTTTGCAACCCAATCCCTGTATCTCAAAGATAAGGCAAGATCTGTCATCATTTTGTGTCATCTTTTTGTGAGACGTCCCTCGGTTGAGAGCTAGGTCCTGTATTCGATCCCGGGTGGATGCGTATGTGCTTGAGTTGGGGGAAATCCCCGTCTGGTCCGTGTGTGGGTAAAAAAAAGTAAATAGAAAAAAAAAGATGAGATCTATAATATTATCCACGAGTACTACTCACCAGAAGATGCAACTGTTGTAACATCCCGGTCGGCTCAAACCGGAGCGTCACCGCCACGCCACACCGTAAGGCTCGTTCATCAACCAACTAGCCCTACATTGTGGCGCTAAAGCTAAAATAACCATTACAAAATAACTATTTAGAGATTTAGAATTAAAGCGCACCGGTTTATCATTTATTTTACCCCAAACTCAATTTTATTCCTAATTTACAGCCAATTCCTTAATTTCTTACACCAAAAGCTCAAAATAAATTAGGCCTAAAATAATATTTTCCGACTCCGGCGTCGAAGTCCGGCAAGTTCCGGCAAACTTCCGGCGAGTATTTTTACGGGGTATTACATCCTCCTTCCCTTAGGATATTTCGTCCTCGAAATTGATCTCCTAATCAAGACTAGGCCTAATAAGCTCTCACTAATCAAATAGCATAACCAATGCACATAAACACATGGAACGAACACTAATCAAATAGCATAACCAATGCACATAAACACATGGAATGAACATAAAATGCAATGCATGCCATGAATACACCCAAACCCGACTAAACTCATGACCTAATTGATTTTAGAAATTCCGAAATCTTCAATTTTTATTAACCAAGAAGCATGAGCCTTTAACCTAGGCTCTGATACCATCTGTAACACCCCGGTCGGCTCAAACCGGAGCGTCACCGCCACGCCACACCGTAAGGCTCGTTCATCAACTAACTAGAAATACGTTGTGGCGCTAAGGCTAAAATAACCATTACAAAATAACTATTTAGAGATTTAGAATTAAAGCGCACCGGTTTATCACTTATTTTACCCCAAACTCAATTTTATTCCTAATTTACAGCCAATTCCTTAATTTCTTACACCAAAAGCTCAAAATAAATTAGGCCTAAAATAATATTTTCCGACTCCGGCGTCGAAGTCCGGCAAGTTCCGGCAGACTTCCGACGAGTATTTTTACGGGGTATTACAACTGTAGTACTACAAGTCTATAGTTACTTCTCTCTATTAAATAGTTTCTATGTAATAATTTACACATAAATATTATTTAATCAAGTGAACTGAACAGTCTCCAAGTATAATTCTTGCCTTAAAGCTGTAAGAGTACATATAACAGTCAATGCCATTCGAACTAAAACTGCAATTAGCTGAAAAAGTAAGAGCCACAGACCAAAGGCCAACGAAGTTGTGAGCCAGTGACCCACATAATCCAGAACTCTAAATGTGAAGGAATTATATACAGAATAATTCACAGAGAAGAAGAGTAATCCGAAACAAACTATTTACAACAAGGCCACAATGAACTAAATCACAATGAATCAACTATGCAAAAGATACTGCACCCAGTTATCCAAAAAGATTTCACCAAGTCACCTGGACAACCAATAAAGTCAAACTTATTTCAAGATCTATCAAAGAGCATAAAATAAGTAGAATCTACCCAAAACACTACCAACGTACTAACTTCCAAATATAGTAATAAAATATCAAAAAAGAGTCCCCCCATATACATTTGTGCTCTGTAGGTTTGCTAACATAAGACTACTTGAAAAAAAATAATAAATAAATAAATAAACTCAAGAAAAGAAAAAAAAGATCCACAATAAAACAACTAGTAAATTCTAAAACCTAGAAGACCAACAAAAACAAAGTTCTAGAGTTAATATTGATTGTACGCCCATAACATTAAGGGTGCAATTGGTCCATAATCTTGGAAGAAGCCAAAAGAAAAACACAATATGTGCACATAATAGGGTAGAATAATTTGCATGTTGGAAAGAAAAGAAGGATCATAGAATCCTTGATGAGTGTGAGTGATATTTCCTCTAGGAGTTATCACTGAAATAAATCAAACATATACATTGCAAACGATGATTCTCAGATAAAAGAACTTCCGGGAGCCGCATCTTTACCACTATATCAATCATAATTTCATCAATATTAATCTCTAGCATTGTCTGACCCATAGCTCAGAGAATGACACAACAGCATAAATGCCACGGGACGTTTAAAGTTAGATACAGTAAATGAGCTTATCTATTTAGGGTGTGTTCGTTTGTAAGATTTTTAAAAATCTTACTATTCATCCAATTTTTTCCCCTCAAAAACATCAAATCAAACACCTATTTTTCATTTTTTATATTATACTAAAAATCAATTTTACATTCAAAACATCACATCAACACCTATTTATATCACATCATACAACTATTCAAATTCAAAATTTTTACTATTCAAATCCCAACTCAAAATCCAAACCCCCAAACAAACACACCCTAAGTCAACATAACTGCAAGCATAATTTTGGTTAGACATATTACCCAAACAAATAACTTCTATATCCGACGAAAACAAGCTAAAGATGAATTAAAGCAACAAATCAAAATTGGGGCTTTTCTAGTGAAGCCAAAATCATAGTCCTATTCATCTAGTGAATTATGTAAAGTATGCAAACCCTTGCAAAGTTTTCTACTTTCCTTACAGTTGCTTTCTATGGCTACGGCCATTACAACTCGAACAACTACTAATATCAAAGGATTATTCACAGGCACACAAACAAGAACCACAAATGCCACATAAAACAATGAAGATCAAACTAAAAGGAAAACAAAATCTTAAATCCAACTTTATTTACTCTAAACCATAAATTCCCATCATACCTTTCGCAGGGCAGGCAGGGCACACGTCCCTGTTTCCCATCTGCCAAATACTTCTTTCTTTGATGTGCAGACTCAAAAATCAATTTCACAAAATGGAGAAACGCCTTCTTCAATGCATTCTGATCAACCTCACTATGCTTGAGCTTGCCTACATTCTCCTGAAACAATCTCATGTTTTTAGGAGCTCTCTCCTCTTCCCCTCTCCTAAAATCATGGACGCCGCTCGGCCCCGGCACATTTACATTTACATTTACATTAACATTAGCATTTGAATTTGGATTTGGATTAGCATTTCCATATTGCAGAAGCTGCTGCCTCTGTCTCTCAAATCCATCATCCCTCCCTCTCCTCTCCTCTTCCCCAAATTTTCGTTTCAATCCACTCTCAGGTCCCGAATTCCTAACCCTAGCATCCGAACCGAGGAATTCAGGACTCATCGGAAAAGGAGGTCGATCAAGTCCGAAACCGTGGAGTTGGGGACGGAAACCAGGCCGCGGCATAAGAGGAGCATTCTCATAATCCGGGGGTAAAGCGAAGTAAGATCGGACGGAACCATCGGCTAGGGCTATGCTCCGCCGCTCGAGCATGTGGAATCCGTAAGCTGGGGGCGGCGGCGGTTCGACGAACGGGAAAGAAGGCCTCAGCTCAGAGGCAGCGGTAGGGTTTTCAGGCCTCGACGATGGGCCATCGGGATTATTGAGTACTAGAGGTCTCTTGTTGGGATCTCTGTTGTTTTGTGGAGTGGCGGAGGGATTAGGGGAGGGTTTGGATTTCTGGTCGGCGGCGGCGGCGGCGGATGAAGAGGATTCCCAGCGGGATTTGCGGTGGTGGGCGTGGGCGGCGGAGGAACCCTGAGGAGGAGCCCGGGGAGGGTTTTCACCGGCCATATTGTGCAAAGCAACAAATCGACTAGCACTCAATAACTAAATATGCTTAATAAAAAATTAAGGGTGTGTTTGTTTCGTGGTTTTTAGTTATTGGTTTAGATTTTTTAATAGTAAAAAATTGAATTTGAATAGTTATTTTGACATGATATAAATAGAAAAATTTGATACGATATTTTGAATTAAAAATAAATTCGTAATATAATATAAAAAATAATAATAATTTTTTAATTTGATATTTTTTTGAAAAAAAAATAACCAGTAAAATTTGTGGTACAATCCAAAAAAAAATACAACAAAAAAAATTTAAGAATGTGTGATAATTGGTGGTATGAATTTTGAATTTGAATTTTTATTTGAAATTAATTTTAATTTAATTTCAAAATATGATATGAATATTTATTTATATATTTTTAAAAATAAATTAATATATTACATATATTAATTAATTTTATATTGTTTATATAATTTATATATATAGCATAAAAAAATATTTTTCAAATTATTTAAGAAAACAAATAATCTCTTATTTTGCAAATATAAAAATATATAGATTGATTTTAAATAGAATAATATTACTATATTATAAAAATTAATTTTAATTAGTTCAAAGGCCCAACTTAATTTAGTTACGTCCATAAAACTCCAGTGTGTTCAAGCCCAATTAGATAGGCCCAATAGTAATCCTAAAGTCCATCATAATTACGCCCGGCCCAATTAATATTTTAAGTGACAATTAAAAAAAAAACACACACACACACACACACAAATTTTGACAAATGAAGTATATAGTCTCCAATTCTCTTTAGTATGTTATTTTTTCTATACAACTTTTATATTTGTTACAAAAATATACTTCATCCAACCGGCTCTAAGGACCACATTTATCTTTTACGTTATTGCACTTAACATTAAAATATATCCTTATATTTATATAATTTTTTTTTTGCACAAATGTCCTTCTATTAGTACTATAAAACACTAATGAAAGTATTTTTGCAATTTTTTCTTAATCTGTACTATATTTTGATATAATAATTAATATTCAAAAATCAACAAGCAAAAAACAAATTAAACCCTTAGAGTCGGACGAAGAGAGTATTAGGGTTTTAGTTTTTGGGTTTGGATTTTTTAATAATAAAAAGTTGAAATTGAATAATTATTTATGTGATATAAATAGAAGTTGATATGATGTTTTTAATGTAAAATAAATTTTTAGTATAATATTTCATCCGTCTCATAACAAAGTATCCATTTTTTCATTTTAGTCCGTCTCATAACAAAATATTCATTTCTTTTTTTTTTTTAAGTAATTGTACTATCTACCTAACATTACAAATACCCTTACAATTTACAATATATTACACAAATACCATTACCTTTATATCACACCATACTAATAAGGTTATTTTTGTCATTTCTACTTTATTTCTACTATATTCCAATATAATACTAATATTTATAAAACTACGTGCAAAAAGCAAACAGATACCTAATTATGAGACGGAGAGAGTATAAAAAAAGAAAAGATTGTTTGATGTGATATTTTTTTAGAGAAAAAAAATATCGAATAGTAAAAACTTGTAAAACTCACCAAAAAACACAACCTTAATTATCTCACAAAAGGTTATTCAACTTATTATATAAAGTAATAATGTGATACCTCCGAAGCTGAGCCGGTGCTAGACCAACTCCCATGGATGAGCCAGTAAGAGGTCATCCGAGGTTGAATATAGGTTAAGGGTGTGTTCTTTTGGGGGATTTTCCCAAATTTCTACTATTCATCCAATTTTTTCCCTTCAAAAACATCAAATCAAACACCTATTTTTCATTTTTTATATTATATTAAAAAATAATTTTACATTAAAAACATTACATCAACACCTATTTATATCACATCATACAACTATTTCAATTCAAAAATTTTATTATTCAAATCTCAATTCAAGATCCAAACCCCCAAACAAACACACCCTAAATAGATTGAATAGACTACTCATGTCAACAATATGTACATTCCTTTTCGCGAGTCTACAGAAAGAACTTTAGAGTTAAATACGTTTGTATCTAATTATAAAATAAACTATATATTTATTTAAAAAAAAAAAAAAAAAAGACTTGGAATGTGTTTGCTTGAAGGATCTTGGTGATTTGTACTATTCTCATAAAAATTAAAAAAAAAATTCCAAAAAAAAATATCAAATTAAATATATTTCTTATTTCTTTTATAAAAATCAATTTTAACATTCAAAATATTACACGAATATTTATTTATATCATATTATACAACTATTTTAATTCAAAATTTTTAGTATTCAAATCTCCATCCAAAATTCAAATCCGTCCTCTCGTTGGTGTAATTAATTGGCAGAATAATGTAATGGAAGTCACTTTCAATTATAGTTGAGAATCATGCATGCATAAGTTGCAAAAATTGACATTATTACATTACATGGACCTTTCGATAACACTTGTTCATTGATTTACATTCTTTATTTATTTATTTATTTATTTTTATTACAAGCTGACTTGAGAGTTGAGGATAATTATTCCTTTGAAAATCCATTGAAAATTAATAAAATGACAAAATCTCAGATAATATATACTCCCTCCGTCCCAAATATCATGTTCACGTTGCCGTTTCTATCCGTCTCACATACTATGTCACTTTTTTTTTTTTAAAATGATTACACATTTTAATCTCATTTTAAATTTTTTAATTTAACGTTTTTTTTAATTTTAATTAAATTAATTAGTTATTTTAATCTTAATTTATAATTATTTATATTATAGGATAATTATTTTCACTAATACATTCTTAATTATCTACTAATTATGTCCCTCCTAAAACACCGTGTCTACAGTGTAGCAGACACGGTATCTGGGACGGAGGGAGTAATATTTTCTCTGTCCTATAACAAAGTATCAATTTTTTCATTTTGGTATGTCCCATAACAAAATATCTGTTTTTTTTTTTTTTTTAGCAAATGTACTATCTACCTAATATTATAAATACCCTTACAACTTTCAATATATTACATAAATACCGTTACTTTTATATTACTCAATAATAATAAGATCATTTTAGTCATTTCTATTTTATTCCTACTATATCCCAATATAATACTAATATTTCTAAAACAACGTGTAAAAAATAAATGAATACATAATTATGAGATGGAGAAAGCATATATTATATTTATTTGTCATAATATATTTATAATTTATATAAAAACTAAAAGATATATTTTTATATTAACGTGTGATTAATTTATTATAATAAAAAAAACTTTTTAATATTACAAACAAAAATGACTGAAAAAATACTTTCAGTTAAGACTGATAATATATATATATTTATAATATTAATTAAGAATCGTATTACTAAAAAATTATTGAGTGAATATATATATATATATATCTCGGTATGATATCAATATTTTTTTATATAATTGTTTATTAATTTATTTTGTGAAGGCTCATACACACATCAGCTGGTCAATAATGAGATCATGCCAAATCAAGAATTAAATGTTGTCATAATAGTTTCACCAACTCCACAAGAAATATTCGAATTTATTTGCTTTTAATTTAAATATTATTTTAATATAATATTTTATTTTAAAATATAATATATTTTTAATAAAATATGTGTTAAAGTTAATGATTGGGCTTAAAACACAGATCAAACACACATTCAAGGGCATTTTTTTTTATTAAAAGTTTTTCAAAATTTATTATTTAAATTCCACATTTTTTAAAAAATATACTTATTTATATTAAAAAATATTTTATCCAATATTATTTTAATATTAAAATCAAACGAAAAATTTTCAAGCCAAACCCAATAAAATTTTGAAGTTTTTTAAAAAGTAAATTTAAAATAATAAAAAATAATATTTTAATATGATATTTCATTAATATTGATGTGATATTTGATTTAAAAAGTTATTGTAAATAGTGCCAATTATTTTAAAGTGTGTTCTCTTATCAAATTTTATCCAATTTTTATTATTCATTAAATTTTTTTTCCTAAAAAATATCAACATTGGTTTATATTACATTATACAACTATTTCAATTAAAAAATATTATTATTCAAATTTCAAACCCCCGGACAAGTATGTCGTACTAATTCAAAACATGCATGTAAACTTATATACTATTTCATTTAATAATTAAAATTAATTAAAATCATGATAATTAACTTTAATGAGCGCCTAACCCTTTCTCTACCTAAGCACAAAAAAATAATTCTCTTTAAATTATTATTATTATTATTATTATTATTATTGTACCTTTTCGTACAAGAAGTAATTTTGTCCCAAGTTCTTACAAATTGATTCTATTATGATAACAATAATAATACTATAATAGTGATCGAATTTTACTCTAAAATGACTCTTGAGCCAAACTGCCAATTAATTTGCATTTGTCTTTATATTATATATGAATGTTGTCACATTCAAATTTCCCTTCTAGAAAGGGTATTTTATATATATATATATATATATATACACACGCACGCGCGCAGTCGCGCTAAGTGACGGAACCAGCCATAAAATTTAGGAGGGGCAAAATATCAATTTTTTTTTATTTAATACTCCCTCCATCCCAGATACCGTGTCTGCTACACTGTAGACACGGTATTTTAGGAGGGATGTAATTAGTAGATAATTAAGAATGTATTAGTGAAAATAATTATTCTATAATATAAATAATTATAAATTAAAATTAAGATAACTAATTAGTTTAATTAAAATTTAAAAAAATTAAAAATTTAAAATGAGATTAAAGTGTGTAATCATTTTCCAAAAAAAGAAAGTGACATGGTACGTGGGACGGACATAAACGGCATCGTGGACATGGTATCTGGGACAGAGGGAGTATTGTTTTTTTCGATTTCTCACAATGGAACCGAATAAACAAGAAAAAAAATAGCTAAAAATTAAAATTTTAGAGAAATATTTAAGAAAAATTAATAAAATTCAATAATTTCTACTAAAAAATTTAAAATTTAAAAGTATAAATTAACAAAACTACAAAAATTTTATTATTTTTTTACACTATAACGTAAAAAAAAAAGGAAAAATATGGGAGACAAAATAAGAAAAAAAATACATAATTTTATCATTTCTTACACTAAATAAATCATATATTTAGGGGTTGGGGGGTCAACTGCTCCTAACCCCTAGGTAGTTCCGTTTCTGGCTGCGCTAATTTTATCTAATCAACATATTTTTATAAAAAGACAGTGCATTTTGTATACAATATAGCACAACTGATATAGAAAGATGTACTGTGTAGGTTATTATTTTCTTCGTCCGGCTCTAAGGGTCTCATTTACTTTTGCTTAATCGTACTTAACATTAAAAATATTATTATATTTGTATAATTTGTTGCATAAATATCATTATAATAGTATTATAAAACACTAATATAAGTATTTTTGTCATTTTCTATTGATTTATACTGCGTTCTCATATAATAATTAATATTCAAATATTAACACGTAAAAAGTAAATGAGACCCTTAGAGCCGGACGGAGATAATATTTTATATTGTGCAGTATAATATACTTATTGTATGCGTTTATTTTATAGGATCGTATTATAATATTTAATACTACATCCGTCCGGCTTTAAGAGTCTCATTTACTTTTTGTGAGTTAAATTTTTTAATATTAATTATTATATCAAAACCTAGTATAAATTAAGAAAAAATACAAAAATATTTCTATCAGTGTCTTATAATACTAATAGAAGGACTTTTGTACAAAAAAATTATATAAATATAACAATATTTTTAATGTTAAGTATAATGACGCAAAATATAAATGTGACCCTTAGAAGCGGACGGAGAAAATATAATTTTATTTGATTAAATATACAATAATATAAACATATTATATTATATTATATATAATTATATGAAAATATGTTATATATTTTATGTTATATGTGCTATCAAAAATATATATATAAGCTTAATTAGAGTAATGAATTTTATAATTCATCCTAACAATAAACTGACATATATATATATATATATATACATAACTACAAATAACACAAATACTCGTTCCGGTCTCGGTGCAAGGTTGTCATTTATTTTTTGCGCGTAGATTTTTTAATATTAGTATTATAATGAGTTGTAGTAAAAAAGACGAAAATATCTCTATTAGTATTGTGTAATATAAAAACAATGAAATTTGTGTAATATAGTATAAGTTGGAAGGATATTTATTATGTTAGTTAGGTAATGCAATTACTAAATTAGGAAATTGTAACCTTATTTTGGGACGGACGAAAATGGAAAATGACAACCTTTTAATAAGACGGAATGAGTATAATATAAATATATCATATAAACTAACAACATATAAAATAATTTCATAGAGTGTATGTCACCATTGATTTCATCACAAAAAAAATATATATTTTCATATAACATACCAACAAGTATGAACAAAAAAAGTAAAATAAAAAGATTTTTAACTATAACACTTTTTATATTACATGGTTCGCCTAGTGTGACTTTTTCGTCAGGCCTGGTTTGCAGGGTATTAGGTTCGGCCGGGGTTTATCCAGTGCGCACTTTCGGGTAGCGGCTGCGGGTTCCCACGTCATAAAAAAATAATAATAATAAATTATGAAAGTTATTAAGAAAAAAACATTTGATAAAATAAAATAAAAAATAAAAAATTTAAATTTATGAATAAGAAAAGAGATTTAATATACAAATAATGGAATTAGTGAAATTAATTTGGCTAAGGGACATGAATTGGCATGGTCACATGTTAGAAATAATTTGCTTTAGGATTCCTTTTAATCTTTTTTCTTGCCCTTATCAAACTTATTATTATTATTATTATTATTATGATTTATTTATTTCATTTTCTATGTATAGTGTGGGCACATGGAAAGTCACATGTGCACACATGCAAGTACATTTTCAAACTTGCCTAGTTATTTATCTTTATTTTTATTTATTTATTTATTTATTATGACACGAGAACCCACATCCGCTATCCGAAAGTGCATACTGAGTAAATTCTCAGTCGAATTTAATATAACAACTAAATTAATTGAGTCTAACAAAAATAATTATCTCCCAATTTCAGGGAAATTTATCTAAAATTTAAAACCAAATTTATTTTTATATAGTAAATATACAGGCTAATTATAAATTTTATTAAATTGAGTGGCATGCACTTTACAGTGTACATCACAAAAATATATTTTAATTACGACTTATTTTTGTTTTTACTTAAATTAATATATTAAAAAAATTGATTTCAAATACATTAATATATTTTCTTTGTCCAACTCTAAGGATCTCATTTATCTTTTACATGTATTTAACATTAAAAATATTTTTATATTTGTATAATTTACACAAATATCATTATAATAGTATTATAAGACATTAATAAAAATATTTTTGTTATTTTCCTTTGATTTGTACTATATTTTTATTTAATAATTAATATTACAAAATCAACTCGCAAAAAAATAAATAAGACCTTAAAACCGGACAAACGTAGTAAAATTTTTATTATTTTTTATACATATACTTACAAACGTAGTATTAAACATATACTTACATTATAGTAAAAATTTTATACATTCCAAATTTTGATCATGTACTATTTATTTTTTTTTTCTAAAATATAGAATAAAATATTTATTTCTATTTAATAGTACTATTATATAGTAGTAATGTATATATATATATATATATTATTTTTTTATTGTTTGATCTTGAAATCGTAAACAAATTAGTGAGTTTGTTGCAATAATTATTTATTTGAAATTTTATTTTACCAATGTGAGGATTTCTTTGCAGCCACTTTTGACTATTCATCGGATAGTTTTCACATTACTAACGTATATATATTTGGAGTTGATTTTTGGTATTGATAATATCCAATTTACATTTTGAATTTAATAATTAATTTTTATATGAGATATATTATTTCAATAATTGTTATTTAAAATTTTAAAAGTAAAAAAAAAATAAAAATTATTGAATATGTATAATCTTAACTCAATATATGTATAGGTCAAGAGTGATGTGAAAGTAATTTATCTATATTTTTTTAATCGGATAATTTATTTATATTATATATATATTTATAACGAAATTTATTTATATTATTGTTTAATGATAAAATTGTTTATATGTATATATTGCATTATTTATACTAGTTTGTAGATGTACTCATTTTTTTTCTTCTATAATTATTTTTTATAGAAGAGATTTCACTAAATAAATAAATACAAAATATTTATTTATTTTTTTTTTTTAAAATACAAAAAGATATTGTATAATTTACTCTAAAAAATACTTAGGAATATCATTGAAATAAAATATTTCACATTGTTATCAATAATCAATACACACATGCATGTGTAGGATGCTGGTGAGTGGTGACCAATATATATACAAATGCATAATAATACTCACTAAATAATTATTTACATATATATATATATATACATATTTATAATAATTTAATAAAATGTATACATAGTTAGGTTGCTAATATGTTATAATAATGATTGTAATAATCCAATTATATTTTGGCTTTGCGCTGATCCGACCAAGTTAGCATAGTGTTGATTTGATGGATTAATATATATACTTATACATATTTTAGTATATGATGTGTTATAAGATAATATAATTGAATTATAATATAATATATATTGTATTAAATATGATGAGATATATATAAATATATACTAATAATTTCTATAACATATATATACTGATTCGATCAAATCAGTATCATGGACATATCGGATAAGCAGTTGATCTATGCCATAATATTTTTATATGATGATTAAACTTCGGTCTCAACACCAATTTTCTTATAGGCGTATACATTTTTTTATCGCGATGTTTTATTAGATATAATACTACATCCGTCCGGCTCTAGAGTTCAAATTATTTTTTGTGTTGATATTTGAATATTAATTATTATATAAAAATATAGTATAAATTAAGGAAAAATTACAAAAATATTTCCATTAGTGTCTTATAATACTAATAGAATAATATTTGTACAAAACAAAATTATACAAATATAATAATATTTTTAATGTTAAACACAAAAGATAAACCACAGAAGCAGTAATATATTACATGTATTAAAAAATATATATATAAATCCTAAGAATAAATAATAAAATATATTTTTTTTAACAAATAGTGTGTAAGTATCTTAAATTACCTAAAGAAACTTCTAAAAGTAACGTGTAAATAACCCATTTGAAAATTGAGGGCAAATATAACATTAATTTTTTTATTTTTAGAAATCATTAGCATCTACAGGTAGAGACGTAGTCCTTTGTACCAAATGTGGGAATAGACCATCGGAATATAAGCTTTTCGCCGCCGCAAGGTGGCTCGGACTACAAGAACTATACGGCGGCAGCGGCGGCGGCAACGGCGGGTCGTAGCCGGAAACCTTGTAGATAACGCCATTCTTAATTGAATTCAACGGCGGGTACGTCGTGAACTGCTTCCCATTGCTACCGAACTTTTTAAGCTCATCGTAATCGACTTTATCTCCTCGACTCGTAGTTGGAGCGTCGGGATCGGGATCAGATTTCGATGCCCGATTGCTGGGATCCCTCGATCGTATCGTCATCGTCGTCGACGGTCGATGTCTTGTCTCGTTGTCGATGTCATTATCGATTCCCTCGACGTTATCCTCAGTTTCATTTTCATCGTCGAAGTGGCGGTCACTACAACCTCGGGTAGTGCCATCGTGGTCCTCCTCGTACTGTCCCGATACGTCGTTGTAATGAACTTCTGCCTCGGATCCTTCGAATTGGTAAGTTATCTCTTCGAACCGGCCGTGTACTTGCGAGCTCTTAGCCGGTCGTTCGGACGGCGAAAAAGCGTCGGCGTCACAATTTTGACAGCAACCTCCGATGTTGTAATAATCGGGACAATCTTCGATTCTGACGCCCTTTTTCCAGTCGGGTACCAAGGACGCTATCTCGCCATCGATCATTTCGGCTATTTTAGTCACGTCTTGATCCATGATGTCCAGCTCGGCCACCATTTCCGTGGCGACACTTAGAGCCGTGTCGTTCTCAATGTCGAACGGGAAGTAAATGTTTCGAACTCGACCTAGAAAGAGGACCCGATTAATGACGACTCGTTAACGTAACTCGGAAAGACGTAGCAAGTACAAATTTACCTTCTTTATCGGCAATTCGGAGCCTCAGAAAGATATTATCGTCATCGCTTTTTCTTCCTTTGATCGTGATATCCACGTTCTCCGAGTCGTCGTCTTCAAGATCGTTCGTTTCGTACTCAAGCGAGTGCGAATCGAAGTCGTGCTCTGGATTGTAACATACGTAATTGGAGAAACCGTTCACCGACGAACTCGTCGCGCTGTGATGAGCACTCAACAGAGGCTGTCGTAAAACCGAGCCTATTTCGTCGTAATCCCTTTGGTAATAAATCAACGGCCTCAAATCATAATCGTTGATTTGAAGGAAAGGATCGTTGAGAAGCTCCCAAGCCGATCGCCTGTTTGAGACCGAAGCCAAACATATGTCGACGAATCTACGAATCTCAGGATCCTTAACTTTGTAAAGAGCATCCGGTTTCTTACCCTAAACAGAAAATACGATGAATCATAATAAACAACTAAACAAATCGTACAAAAAACATTCGATAAAAGCTAAAATCGAGCGCTTACGGAGATCACTTTCTTGTAAATTTGCGCCGGGTGCGTGCACTCACTGTACGGATACTCAAACGTCACCATTTCCAAAATACACATTCCGAAAGAATATATATCGACCAATTCATTGTATTCCTCTTCGTAAACTTCTGGAGCCATGAACTCCGGCGTTCCTAATTACATATGTATACATAAACGAATACCAATTCAATGATTTCTACATAATCAATTCAGGTTAAGCTTATTACCGACACAACGAGCAGCGTGCGATTTCCTGAGGATTGCAGCGAGACCGAGGTCGCCAATCTTGACTTCTCCCTGATTTCCATTGATGAAAATGTTGTCACATTTAAGGTCTCTGTGAATCACCGGCGGGTCGTGGCTGTGGAGATAAACGAGCCCCTGTAGAATCTGCCGGCACCAGTGTTTGATCGCTCGAATGTTTATCCTCTTATGCTTCATCCTATATCTTTAACAAATCCAAAAAATCGAGCGAAAATTAGAAACTATCCACGATCAGAGGGATTGTAATGTAAGAACAACACTAACTGTCTGAGAGTGCCGGAAGTGAACATTTCGGTGACGAAATTGATGTTTCGATTGGCGGTATCCACCCAAGAGGTGTAGAATTTCATAATGTTGTTGTGCTTCAACGTCTTGAGGAGATGGATTTCGCAGTAGAGTCGTTCAAGATCCTCGGGGCTCTGTAAGAAATCGTAGAGCTTCACCTGGTTCCAGGCGACTTCAATTCCTTCGTACTCGTCGAAAGCTCTGTACCTGTTGCAGGAATTTAACAAATCAAAAGAGAATCCATGGATGCAAAGCTTGTGATTCCATAAGGTTCAGAAAGGAAATTACATACACTGTTTTGGAAGCACCTTTGCCGAGAATCTCATTGTACTGAAAGGAGATTAAGGAATTTTGTTTAGGATTTTAGAACATGAATGAAAATGATTGAATTGAAAAGAAGATTCGACACAAAATTAGGGCACAAAATATGCATAAACACATACCCTTCCATATCTTCCAGACGGATCAACTTCTACAAACTCTGAATCCTCTGAATCAAAATCGATTAAACCACCATTCATTTCTAGAATCTACGAGAAGTTTATTCCTCTGCCTTCTGAAGGGGAAAAGCTTATCCAACACCACTCAACCCCAATCTTCAGGCGTTAAACTCATTAACAGACAACACTGTGATCAAATTAGCAAAAAAAGCTCAAAATCTCCTCAAAAACAGAAGAATACCTAAGAATAATTTACATATCCACATCTTCTTACCGACACCACAGCTATTTCTCTTCGCGAATTAAAAAAATTCGAAGGAAGCCACTGAAGACGTCACTGCTACCTCTCCAAACGCATAGATCTCATCAATCGTCTTCCTGCGTAGGTTAAAATCGATTCAGTAATCAATTACTGCTTTATTTTAGCTCCTTCGCCTGGATTTGCTCCGATTGCTGCATAACAAAAACATACGCCAATCGAATACAAATTAAACAATGAAAATGAAGAAAAATTATGCTGAAGATTACCGGAAATCGATGGAAGAGATGGAATCGGAGGACGGAGGAAGGTTTCGGATGGGATCAATGGCTCCTCTTAACAGCTTGCGGATTTTATCAAATGAAAATAGCGCAGGAGACGAATAGACAGTAGTTTAACTTTTGTGCCGTACTTTTTTTGTTTAGCGGCCCCTGGACTTTAACTCCAGATGGAATCTATCACGGAGATGCTCTGATTTAAATGGTGTGGATCTTTGTGGTGTTCTGCACCTTGGCGTTTCTAACATATAGTCTCTTAAGAAGATTCTACATTGGTCCAATTTAGTAATCATAGTCATTAATGCTAATCCTTAATTGTAATTAAGGAGAGGGGCTTCATCCTAAACAATTAAATACTGCTGCTATGTTTAGCTCTTAATTAATTTTATTATTATGGAGTAAAAATTACCTTCTATATTTATTTAAGATTTTTTCTTTTATTATTATTATTTTTTATATGAGAACCTATCGTTGCTATCTCAAAGTGTGCACGAAATAAACCGCTATCAAACCTAACCCCATGCAAATTAGACTTGACAAAAATATTGAGCATGTTGGTTTAGCATTTTAGTTTAAATATTTTTTTATTTAAGATACTACGGTTTGTTTGTTTTTTGTTTTGATTTGAAATTTTTTTTTATATATAAAATATTCCTTTCGTCTCATATATATGTATTCGTTTATTTTTAACACGAAATTTTAGAAAGATAAGTACTCCCTCCGTCCTATAAATATAGTCTTAATTGGGTTGGATACGAGATTTAAGAAATATTGATATTATATTGGTAATTGATAAAAAATATAGATAAAAGACTTTTTTGCCCATGCGAGTGTATTAGTGTAAAAAATAGTCACAATTGTATAATAAAAAAAATAGGGGGACTTTTATGATGATATGGTTATTTATGGAAATAAAACTATTGTATTGAGACGGATGGAGTATTATATTGGGATACAGTAGAAATAAAATAGAAATGATTAAAATAACCTTATTAGTTTTGTGTGATATAAAAGTAATGCCATATGTATAATATATTGTAAGTTGTAAAGATATTTGTAATGTTAGGTAGATAGTAAAATTACTAAAAAAAAAATTAAATCAATACTTTGTTATAAGTCAGACCAAATAATGGATAGTTTATTAAGGGATGGTGGGAGTATAGAAAATTGTATATACAATTGAAAAACAAAATAAAATCACCATGGTTGACTTTTACAAGAAAATAGAGTATTTATTAGAGTAAATTGCATAATAATTGTTTTTATTTTAATATAAATGTATAAAATATCTCATTTCGTATTTATTGCGTGAAATCTATTTTTGTTAAATTAACTATGCACAAAAGATACTCTTGTGATGTTTGATAATATATACACACTTAATTATATTTTTTTATACAAATAAAAAATATAAAATATTTTAAATAAAATAAATAAATAATTTTATCAATCCCTATTTTTTTAATAAAAAATTACATAATAATTTGCCTCTACAAAATTATTAAATTAATAGTCAATCAATTATTTATTTATTATTTTTTTTAAAAAAAATTAAAATATTTTTATCCTTTTCTATTAGTATTAAATTTACATAATTAAATAAATATTTACGATCAAACATTAGCTTTAACGAAAAACATATTTTGGACATTTATGAGAAAGTTTACGTATTAAATATTATTTTTTATATTATCGATATAATTTTATAAATATATATTTAAAATACATATAATACTAATATATACTATCATTCTATAAGATATCAAGTATTAAAAATATTATTTTTATATTAGCGATAAAATTTTATAAATATATATTTAAAACACACAAAGCGAATACATCGACTTATGTTATTTTTATTATATTAAAAAAAAAAAAACATAAATTTGCATTAAAATAATGGGAACCTTACGTTCAAAAAGTTGAATAAAATAATGGATACTTTTCTTGAATTTTATTTTGTGGATAAAGTGACTGATGGCTGTTTCACACACACGTCCAGCTGTGGGTTTTTCTTTTCTTTTTTTTTTTTTTTTTTTAATAATGTTGAAATTCATAGTAGTTATTTTTAATATGTTTTGAATAAATGTTCGATCGAATTTAATTACCTACATATTAGACAAAAAAAATAATATTAGACGTATTATATATAGCAAATAAAATCTGAAAGCATCGGAATTTGAATCTATGATCTTACGGTGGCAAGTCCACCGCCTCGTTATCAGGTCATCCTGGGACATAGGTGGTTTTTTTTTTTTAATCAAAATTTCAGTGTGTTCTTCGTAGGTGGGTATGGATTTTTAAATTTAATACGATAAAAATAAATATTAGAAATATATTTTAAATATAAAATTAAGTTTTATGTACTATAAAAATAAAAATAAGTATTTAATTTAATTTTTTATATAAAAATTAATAAATAATAAATTTGAATTGAAAATTTATGGTAAAAAATTGAATATTTTATTAATATTTTTGTAAAATATTAAAATAAATAGTTGATGGTGTGTTTGTCTGGAGTTTGAATTTTGTTTGGAATTTGAATAATAAGAATTTTAAATTTGAATAATTGTATCATATAATATAGATAGATGTTGATATAATATTTTTTAATATAAAATTAATATTTAATATATAATTAAAAAATAAAAAATAAATATTTGCCATGATGTGTTTAGTGGAAAAAAAATTGGTAAATAATAATTTTGTAAAATTTGACATAAATACTTTTTTATTAATAATTGATGTAGCGAGAAAAAAATAGAATATTTTTCTTGATAGGACTAAATAGTGATGATTTTAGCTTGAAATATAAAGAATTTGTTTGTTTATTATTTTGATTTGAATTTTGTTTTTTAATATGAGGTATATGAAATTGTGTCAATAATATAAAAAATAATACTATTTTCATCTACTTTGAAAGTTTATATTTTTTTTTTTTTTTTTTTTTTCAGTGTTGATATTTAAATATTAATTATTATATCAAAATATTGTACAGATCAAAAAAAAAGAGGCAAAAATACTTTTATTAGTTTCTTATAAAACTAATAAAAGGAAGTTTATATAAAAAAAAATTATACAAATAAAATGGTATTTTAAATGTTAAGTACGAAAAAAAAATAAATATAAACTTATTAAGTAAACATAAAAAATATTTTATATTAAATATTGATTTTTGTAACATACATAAAATATATTTAAAAATCGGAGAAAAAAAATATGTGCCAACAAACCCAAACCAAACACAAGAAGTGCACCATTTTAGTTTGTTTGGTTTTGTTTCTACATGAACATATATTTTGTAGAAAAAAATGATACTATATATTTTTTTATATTAAATTTAAAATGAAGATTTTCAGTTAAAACATAGATAAATATTTATTTATATTATATCAAATAATTATTTTAATTTAAAATTTATTATTATTATTATTATTATTATTATTATTATTTCAATCTGTTTTCTGGACATTCCAATTTCTTCAATCTTCGCCCATATAGTCTCTCTCACGGTAACGCATGCCATACCAACTGTGGAATTCGTTTTGATTTTCTTTTGTTGTTTGGACGAGTTTTTATTGAATTTGCAAATTATTTCTGCACTCATTTCAAATAACTCGCTACTAATATAATATAATTATAATTTATTAATTTTGGTTCAAATATATAAAAAAAAATCTCATCAATTATAATTTAATTATAAATAATTTTTATCAATTTTAGTTATAAAGTTGAAAAAATGTAAACATAACTAATGTATTGTCATAATATGAGAAGACATTTGCTCCCGTTACTCGTTTGACATATATCCGTTGTCTCATTGCCGTTACCGCTGTTCGACGTTGGCAACTATTACAGTTGGATGTGAAGAATGCATTTCTTCATGAAGATTTGTCCGAGAAAGTCTACATGATCCCTCCACTTAGTACAGAATTTTCAGGAAAAGTATGTAAGCTGTGTCGTACCCTTTATGGACTGAAGTAGGCACCCGTATTCATAGATAATCGATCCTCGTCCCTCCGATTTTCACCATTAAAACCTGCATTCTCCCAAAGTAGAAACCACTCCTCTCATAATCATTGCCACATCCAAACATCAAATCCTCCCCTTCGGGATGCTCTGATCTCGATGAAGCATCAACCTCACTCTTATCAGATACACAGTGTATCTTTGCACTCAAACCAACCGCTCACTGAATGACACGTCCCATTTCTTTTATCTAGTTCCTACAACCTCAATCCTTTCAATTCATGACTAACCCCCGGACAATTCACTATGCTGCTATATTGCGCATCTTTTATTATATAAAAGGTATATTTTTACATGGTCTTCACTTCTCTGCCGACTCTTTATTGGTCATTGTTGATCTCTCTGAATACGACAGTGGCTTTTGGTGCCAATGATTGGGACGATTCTGTTCAAAAAAATGCACTTGAATCGATTCCTTTTAATGCTAGAATGAATGTCATCCTAATTTCTATACCGAACAATTGAATCAAGTGCATTTCTTGAACAAAATCGTTCCAATTATCGGCACCCGTATTCATAGCTAATGGATCCTCGTCCTGCTGATTTCATCGTTAAAACTTGCATTCTCCCCAAAGTAAAAACCACTCCCTCTCTCATCATCACTTCCACATCCAAACATCGAATCCTCTCCTTCCAAATGCTCTGATCTCAACGAAGCATCAACCTCACTCTTATCAGATACCCGGTGTATCTCTGCACTCCAACAAACCGCTCACTGAATGACACCTCCCTTTTCTTTTATCTAGCTCCTACAACCTTGATCCTCTCAATTCGACGAGGCTGTGGCATCGAATGGTAGTGTGCTCTGAGCCTGACATAGAAGCACTCGAACCACCATCTCTTGATGCCCGACGAAATTGAGGCTGATTAATCCTACTAGCAAACTTTGACCCCATGGATTCACCCGCATCGAGCATCTTTTAAATGTAACGATCATTTACGTCATCTAACACTACTGATGAGGATAAATCATGTAGTGGCTTGATTCTACTGCAAATGGAAATGTCGGATCGCCAGATATGTAACCTGAGGGCATCGGTGATTT